CACACTAAGCACATGCAAAGTACATGCTAAGCACAGGCTGTACATGCTAAGCACATCTTGTACATGGTAAGCACAGGCTGTACATGCTAAGCACATGCTAAACATGCGGAACACACCCTGTACATGCTAAGCACGACTTGTACATGCTAAGCACAGGCTGTACATGCTAAGCACATCTTGTACATGCTAAGCACACCTTGTACATGCTAAGCACATGCAAAGTACATGCTAAGCACAGGCTGTACATGCTAAGCATAGGCTGTACATTCCAAGTACACCTTGTACATGCTAAGCATGACTTGTACATGCTAAGCACATGCTGTACATGCTAAGCACACCTTGTACATGCTATGCACATCCTGTACATGCTAAGCACATGCTAAGCACACCCTGTACATGCTAAGGATATGCCTTGGGCAAGCTGGCATGAGCTTATTCAAATCTCCACGTGTTGAATCCGTGCCTGGGCAAAGGTGTGCACAGCTGGGCCCATGCTAAGAACATGCTAAGAACATGCTAAGAACATGCCAGCACATGCTAAGCACACGCCCGCCACACACTAAGCACGCATCAAACACGCGCCAAGTGCACACAAGCAACATGATAAGCACACTCCAAGAACAGATCATATACATGCCTATCTCATGCTAAGCACATGCCAAGCACACATTAGGTACATGCCAAGCACATGCTAAGCTCATGCCAAGCACACATCAGACACACAGCAAGCAGACAGAAAGAACATGCAAAGTACATAGCAAGCACACACAAAGAACATGTTAAGTACATGCTAAGCACATGCTAAGCACACAAAGATCATGCTAAAAACACACAAAGAACGCACAAAGAACATGCTAAGGACACACAAATGACACACCAATAACATGCTAAGGACACACAAGTAACATGCCAAGAACATGCTAAGGACACACAACAAACATGCTAAGGACACACAAAGAACATGCCAAGAACATGCTAAGGACACACAGCAAACATGATAAGGACACACAAAGAACATGATAAGGACACACAAGGAACATGATAAGATGCTAAGGACACACGACACACCATGCTAAGGACACACAAATAACATGCCAAGAACATGCTAAGGACACACAGTGAACATGCTAAGGACACACAATGAACATGATAAGAACATGCCAAGAACATGCTAAGGACACACAAGTAACATGCCAATAACATGCCAAGAACATGCTAAAGACGCACAAAGAACATGCTAAGGGCACACAAATTACATACCAAGAACATGCTAAGGACACACAAGTAACATGCCAAGGACACACAACATACATGCTAAGGACACACAAATAACATGCCAAGAACATGCTAAGGACACACAGCAAACATGCTAAGGACACACAAGGAACATGATAAGATGCTAAGGACACACGACACACCATGCTAAGGACACACAAGTAACATGCCAAGAACTTGCTAAGGACACACAATGAACATGCTAAGGACACACTAGGAACATGATAAGAACATGCCAAGAACATGCTGAGGACACACAGCGAACATGCTAAGGACACACAAAGAACATGATAAGGACACACAAAGAACATGATAAGAACATGCTAAGGACACACGAATGACACACCAAGAACATGCTAAGGACACACCAAGAACATGCTAAGGACGCACCAAGAACATGCTAAGGACACACAGCGAACATGCTAAGGACACACAAATGACACACCAAGAACATGTTAAGGACACACCAAGAACATGCTAAGGACACACAGTGACCATGCTAAAGACATGCTAAGCACACAGCAAGCACACGCTAAGGACACGCTAAGCACACGGCTGTGCTGGGGGGGTCGGGACCACGTTTCCTTTGCAGGTCTGCGCCATGGGGCCGAGCCCCCCCCCGCTGCGTTCTGCTTCTTCCTGCAGGGGGGGGCGGGGGGCGGGGAGGGGTCCCCCCATGTGTCCCCATGGCCCCCCCATTGCCCTCCATATCCCCATAGCCCCTCTATCCTCCATGGCCCCATATCCCCCCCATATCCCCCCCATCCCCCCTACCCCCCCATCCTCCCTATCCCCGTTATCCCCCCCATATCCCCCCCATATCCCCCCATCGCCCCGACCCCCCCGGATCCTCCCATCCTCCCTATCCCCCTTATGCCCCCCATAGCCCCCCCATAGCCCCCATCCCCCATACCCCCATACCCCCCCATAGCCCCCCATCCCCCCCATATCTTCCCATCCCCCCTATCCCCCTTATCCCCCCCATACCCCCTTATACCCCCCATACCCCCCGATACCCCCATCCCCCCCCTATCCCCCCATCCCCCCTATACCCCCCCTACCCCCCATGTCCCCCATGGGGCTCAGGGGCTCCCCATTGGCCCGGGGGGGCCCCCCCACAACGGGCTCGGGCCGAAGCCGTTTAATCTCTGTTCTCTTTGTCTCCTCTCTCCCCTCCCCCCCCCGTGACCCCCCTTTGACCCCCATTGCCCCCCCACTCCCCCTTTGACCCCACCCCCACCCTGTGCCCCCCCCCGCGCCCCCTCCCCCCCCCCGCTTTCTCCCGCCTTTTCCTCCGGTGCTAAAAGTAGAAGTGGAGCAAAAAGGTAACGAGATCCTGCCTGGGAGCCCCAAAACACCCCATAATAACCCCCAAAACACCAAAAAACACCCCAAAACCACCCCAAAACACCCCAAAAACACCCAAAAACACCCCAAAAACACCCCAAAACACCCCCAAAACACCCCAAAATAACCCCAAATACCCCAAAACACCCCAAAACCACCCCAAACACCCCAAAACCACCCCAAAATAACCCAAAATAACCCAAAACACCCCCCAAAACACCCAAAACACCCAAAACCACCCCAAAATAACCCAAAACACCCCAAAACTACCCAAAATACCCCAAAACACGCAAAAATACCCCCAAAAGCACCCAAAAAAAACCAAACACCCCCCAATAACCCCCCAAATGCCCCAAAATACCCCCAAAACCACCCCAAACCAACAAAAACCACCCCAAAATTCCCCCAAACACCCCCAAAACCACCTCGAACCACCCTAACCTCCCCCCTCCCCCCCCATTCCCCCCCAACCCTTCCCCCCTTCCCCCACCCTAAACCTCCCCATCCCCCCCCTCCCCCCCCTCCCCCCTTGGTCCTACCCCCCCCTCCCCCCATCCCCCCATCCCCATCCCCCCCCATTGGTTTAAATCAGCTCCGGGCCCCCCCCCCCCCAATTCTCCCATTGGGGTCCCCAGGACCCCCAGGGACTCCCCCACCCCCCATGGCCCCTCCCCCCACGGGGGACCCCCCCCTTGTTCCCCCCCCCCCCAAGGCTCCCTTGGGGGACCCCAAAGCGCCCCCAGGGACCCCAAAGTGGCCCCTCCCCCCCCCCAAAGTGGCCCCTCCCCCCCCCCCAGCATCCATCCCCCTCCCCCCCCTTTATTGAACCCCCCCTCCCCCCCCGGCCGAGCCCAGGGGCAGCTCTGGGGGGGCCCTGGGGCAGTTTGGGGGGGGAGGGGCTGTTTGGGGGCGGGGCAGCTTGGAGCACTTGGGGGGCAGCAACGGCACCGGGGAGGGGCAGTTGTGGGGTGGGGCTCAGTTGTGGGGCAGTTGTGGGGCAGTTATGGGTCAGTTATGGGGCACTTGTGGCTCAGTTTTAGGTCAGTTGTGGGTCACTTGTGGGTCAGTTGTGGCTCAGTTATGGCTCAGTTGTGGGTGAGTTGTGGGGCAGTTGTGGGTCAGTTATGGGTCAGTTGTGGCTCAGTTTTAGGTCAGTTGTGGGTCACTTGTGGGTCAGTTGTGGCTCAGTTATGGGTCAGTTATGGGTCAGTTGTGGCTCAGTTTTAGGTCAGTTGTGGGTCAGTTGTGGGTCAGTTATGGCTCAGTTTTAGGTCAGTTATGGGTCACTTGTGGGTCAGTTGTGGCTCAGTTATGGGTCAGTTATGGGTCAGTTATGAGTCACTTGTGGGTCAGTTGTGGCTCAGTTGTGGGGCAGTTATGGCTCAGTTGTGGGTCAGTTGTGGGTCAGTTGTGGGTCAGTTGTGGCTCAGTTGTGGGTCAGTTATGGGTCAGTTATGGGTCAGTTGTGGCTCAGTTTTAGGTCAGTTGTGGGTCAGTTGTGGGTCAGTTATGGGTCAGTTGTGGCTCAGTTTTGGGTCAGTTGTGGGTCAGTTGTGGGTCAGTTATGGGTCAGTTGTGGGTCAGTTGTGGCTCAGTTGTGGCTCAGTTATGGCTCAGTTGTGGATCAGTTGTGGGTCAGTTGTGGGTCAGTTGTGGGTCAGTTGTGGGTCAGCTGTGGGTCAGTTGTGGCTCAGTTGTGGGTCAGTTATGGCTCACTTGTGGGGTAGTTATGGGTCAGTTATGGCTCAGTCATGGCTCAATTATGGCAGAGTTATGGGTCACTTGTGGGTCAGTTATGGCTCAATCATGGCTCAGTTATGGGTCAGTTGTGGCTCAGTTGCGGCTCAGTTGTGGGTCAGTTATGGGTCAGCTGTGGGTCAGTTATGGCTCAATCATGGCTCAGTTATGGGTCAGTTATGGCTCAGTTGTGGGTCAGGTGTGGCTCAGTTGTGGGTCAGTTATGGGTCAGTTGTGGCTCAGTTATGGGTCAGCTGTGGGTCAGTTATGGGTCAGTTATGGCTCGGTCATGGCTCAGTTATGGGTCAGTTATGGGTCAACTGTGGGTCAGCTGTGGGTCAGTTATGGCTCACTTGTGGGGTAGTTATGGGTCAGTTACGGCTCAGTTGTGGGTCAGGTGTGGCTCAGTTGTGGGTCAGTTATGGCTCAGTTGTGGCTCAGTTATGTGTCAGTTGTGGCTCAGTTGTGGCTCAGGTGTGGGTCAGTTATGGCTCAGTTATGGGTCAGCTGTGGGTCAGTTATGGCTCAGTTATGGGTCAGTTGTGGGTCAGTTGTGGCTCAGTTGTGGGTCAGTTGTGGCTCAGTTATGGGTCAGTTGTGGCTCAGCTGTGGGTCAGTTATGGCTCACTTGTGGGGTAGTTATGGGTCAGTTACGGCTCAGTTGTGGGTCAGTTATGGGTCAGTTGTGGGTCAGTTGTGGCTCAGTTGTGGGTCAGTTATGGGTCAGTTATGGGTCAGTTATGGCTCAGTTATGGGTCAGTTTTGGGTCAGTTATGGGTCACTTGTGGGTCAGTTCCGCCTCAGTTACGGCTCAGTTGCTGGTCACTTATGGGTCACTTATGGGTCACTTATGGGTCACTTATAGGTCACTTGTGGGTCACTTATGGGTCACTTGTGGGTCTCTTGGGCTCCGCCGGGCTCTGTTGCAGTTCCCTCTGTGTCCGCTGGGGGTGGGATGAGGAGGAGGGGGGGGGTTGGGGTTCGCTATGGGGCTGGCGGGGGGGGGGGGGTGGGGGGCAGCGGTTGGGGGTCTCTCAGCGGCGCTCCCAGGGGGGGGCCGCGGGGGGGCGCTGCGGGGCCGCGGCTTCTTCCCACAGGTGCCGGAGCCGCGACCTTCGTCTTCCTCCTCCTCCTCCTCCTCCTCCCGCAGCTCCCGCAGCCCCTCCCCCGCGGGGCCCCCCCGAGCCTGTGAGTGCCCCTCCCCCCACCGGGACACCCCCACCCCCATCCCCATCCCCCCGCGGTGGGAAGGGGGCTGCTGCGGTCACGAGGGCTCGGGGACACACGTGACCGTGTGCATACACGTGTCCTGGGGCACACACGTGACCATGGGCACACACGTGACCAAGTGCATACACATGACCGTGTGCACACGCGTGTCCTGGGGCACACACGTGACTGTGTGCACACACGTGGCTGTGTGCATATGCGTGACCATGTGCACACGCGTGACCATGTGCATACACGTGACCATGTGCACACACGTGACCATGTGCATACACGTGTCCTGGGGCACACACGTGACCATGTGCATACACATGACCATGCGCATACACGTGACCATGTGCATACACGTGACCATGTGCATACACATGACCATGTGCATACACATGACCATGCGCATACACGTGACCATGTGCACACACGTGACCATGTGCATACACGTGTCCTGGGGCACACACGTGACCATGTGCATACACATGACCATGCGCATACACGTGACCGTGTGCATACACGTGACCATGTGCACACACGTGACCATGTGCACATGCGTGTCCTGGGGCACACACGTGACCATATGCATACACATGACCGTGTGCATACACGTGACCATGTGCACACACGTGACCATGTGCATACACGTGTCCTGGGGCACACACGTGACCGTGCACACACACGTGACCATGTGCACAAGCGTGACCGTGTGCATACACGTGACCATGCGCATACACGTGACCGTGCGCACACACGTGACCGTGTGCACACACGTGACCATGTGCATACACGTGACCGTGTGCACACACGTGACTGCGTGCATACACGTGACCGTGTGCATACACGTGTCCTGGGGCACACGTGTGACTGTGTGCATACACGTGTCCTGGGGCACACACGTGACCATGCGAACACACGTGACCGTGTGCATACACGTGACCATGTGCATACACGTGACCAAGTGCATACACGTGACCATGTGCACACACGTGACCGTATGCACACACGTGACCGTGTGCACACACGTGACCGTGCGCACACGCATGACCATGTGCACACGCGTGACCATGTGCATACACGTGTCCTGGGGCACACACGTGACCATGTGCACACACATGACCATGTGCATACACGTGACCATGTGCACACATGTGACCATGTGCATACACGTGACCGTGTGCATACACGTGTCCGTATGCACACACGTGACCATGTGCATACACGTGACCATGTGCACACATGTGACCGTGTGCATACACGTGTCCTGGGGCACACACGTGACCATGCGCATACACGTACCGTGTGCATACACGTGACCATGTGCACACACGTGACCGTGTGCATACACATGACCTCTTACATGTGTGTTCTGGTGCACATGTGACCTGACCTGGTGCGTCCTTTTACACACGTGTCCTTTTACACACATCTCGTTTTACACACATCTCCTTTTACACACGTGTCCTTTTACACACGTGTCTTTTTACATACGTGTCCTTTTACACACATGTCCTTTTACACACGTGTTCTTTTACATACATCTCCTTTTACATACATGTCGTTTTACACACGTGCCCTTTTACACACGTGTCCTTTAACACACGTGTCCTTTTATACACATCTTTTACACACGTGTTCTTTTACATACATATCCTTTTACACACGTGTCCTTTTACACACGTGTCCTTTTACACACATCTCCTTTTACGCACGTGTCCTTTTACACACGTGTTATTTTGCATACATCTCCTTTTACATACATGTCGTTTTACACACGTGTCCTTTTACACACATCTTTTGCACACGTGTCCTTTTACATACATCTCCTTTTACACACATGTCCTTTTACACACGTGTCCTTTTACACACGTGTCCCTTTACACACATGTCCTTTTACACACGTGTCCTTTTACACACGTGTCCTTTTACATACATGTCCTTTTACACACGTGTCCTTTTACACGCCTGTCCTTTTACACGCGTGTCCTTTTACACATGTGTCCTTTTACATACATGTCCTTTTACACGCGTGTCCTTTTACACACGTGTCTTTTTACATACGTGTCCTTTTACACACGTGTCCTTTTACACACGTGTCCTTTTACACACGTGTGCTTTTACATGCATCTCCTTTTACACACATGTCCTTTTTACACACGTGGCTTTTACATACGTGTTCTTTTACACACGTGTCCTTTTACACACTATGTGCACACATGTCCCTTTAAACACATGGCCTTTTATACACACATGTCCTGTGCTCACACACACGTGTCCTTTTGCACATGTGTCCATGTGCACATACGTGTCCTGGTGCACGCGTGTGTCCCTGTGCATACACGTGTCCTTTTCTACATGTGTTCTTTTACACACGTGTTCCTGTGCACACACGTGTCCTTTAGCACACATGTCCATGTGAGCACACGTGTCCTTTAGCACATGTGACCCTGTGCACACGTGTCCATGTGCACACGTGACCATTTACACACGTGTCGATGTACACACGTGACCATTTACGCATGTGTCCATGTGCACACGTGTCCCTGTGCTCACTTGACCATTTACACACGTGTCCCTGTGCACACGTGACCATGTGCACACGTGACCATTTACACACGTGTCCCTGTGCACACGTGACCATTTACACACGTGTCCATGTGCACACGTGTCCATTTACACACGTGTCCATTTACACACGTGACCATGTGCACACGTGACCATTTACACACGTGTCCATGTGCACACGTGACCCTTTACACACGTGTCCCTGTGCACACGTGACCATTTACACACGTGACCATTTACACACGTGTCCCTGTGCACACGTGACGATTTACACACGTGACCATTTACACACGTGACCATTTACACACGTGTCCCTGTGCACACGTGACCATGTGCACACATGACCATTTACACACGTGACCATTTACACACGTGTCCCTGTGCACACGTGACCATTTACACACGTGACCATTTACACACGTGTCCCTGTGCACACGTGACCATTTACACACGCGACCATTTACACACGTGTCCCCGTGTCCCCCATTGGCGCCGCAGCCCCCCCCCATCCCCCATCCCCCCCCCCCCCCCCCCCCCCGGCACCCACGTGTGCAGTGGGGGGGCCGTGCCAGGCTGGACCCCAATGTGGGGGGCAGTGGGGGGGGGACCCCCATTATGGGGGGGGGGGGTGCATTGAAGTCAATGGGGGCCCATCCTGGCGCGGCCGCTGTGTTCCCCCCCCCCCCATGCAGAGACGCCCCATTGGGGGGGGGGTTGGTTTTGGGGTGTCTCTGCCCTGGGGGGGGTCCCCGTTGTGCCCCCCCCCCCGTTCTCTCCCCGCAGCTCTAACCCCCCCGTTTCTCTCCCCCAGCCTCTCTGCAGCCGGCGCCGGACAGCGGGGACCCCCCTTGCACCCCCAAACTGAGGGGGGGTCCCCCCAACCCCCCCATTCCCGGGGGGGGCTCCCCCCTTCCCCCCCCCTCCCCCCCCCCCCGTCTCTGTTGCGTTCGACCAATCCTGGCTGTGGGCCTGGGGGGGGGGGGGGTTGGGGTTTTGGGTCCCCCCCCAGGGAGAGCTGCCCCCCCCCCCCCCATCGCAGGGTGCTCCCAATAAGGGGGGGTCACGGGGGGGCACAGATGGGGTCACCCCCCCCATCGCCCCTCTTCCCCCCCCTTTGACCCCCCCCTCTGTCCCATCCCACCCCCACCCCCTGACAAGGGCTCCCATCCCCCTCCCCCATATCTCCCCCTCCCCCCCCCCCCACCCCGACCCCGGGGTCCCCAATGTTCCCCCCCCCCAAGGGTTGGGGTCCCCCCGGCCGCTCATGAAACCGCTTCTCTTTTCTCTCCTGCTTCTCGCTGCCCCCCCCCATGCACCCCCCCCATCCCTGTTCCCTGTGTCCCCCTGTACCCCCCCCATCCCTGCGTCCATCCCTGCATCCATCCCTGCATCCATCCCTGCATTCACCCCTGTGTCTCCATCCCTATGTCCCCCCTGCTCCATCCCTATACCAACACCTATGCCCACCCCACCGCTGCATCCATCCCTGCATCCATCCCTGTCTCCATCCCTGCATCCATCCCTGTGTCCCCATCTCTGTGTCCCCTTCTCCATCCCTATGTCCCCCCTTCTCCACCCCTATACCTACGCCTGTGCCCACCCCACTGCTGCATCCATCCCTGCATCCATCCCCGTCTCCATCCCTATGTCCCCCCTTCTCCATCCCTATATCTATGCCTATGCGCACCCCATCCCTGCATCCATCCCTGTCCCCATCCCTGCATCCATCCCCTTCTCCATCCCTGTCCCCATCCCTATGTCCCCCCTTCTCCATCCCTATATCTATGCCTATGCCCACCCCATCCCTGCGTCCATCCCCTTCTGAATCCCCATCCCCATCCCTTTGTCCCCCCTTCTCCACCCCTATACCCACCCCTATACCCACCCCATCCCTGCATCCATCCCTGCCTCCATCCCTGCATCCATCCCTGCATCCATCCCTGTGTCCCCATCTCTGTGTCCCCTTCTCCATCCCTATGTCCCCCCTTCTCCATCCCTATACCCACCCCTATACCCACCCCATCCCTGCATCCATCCCTGCATCCATCCCCGTCTCCATCCCCATGTCCCCCCCTTCTCCACCCCTATACCAACACCTATGCCCACCCCATCCCTGCGTCCATCCCCTTCTCCATCCCCATCCCTATGTCCCCCCTTCTCCATCCCTATATCTATGCCTATGCCCACCCCATCCCTGCGTCCATCCCCTTCTGAATCCCCATCCCCATCCCTTTGTCCCCCCTTCTCCACCTCTATATCCACCCCTATACCCACCCCATCCCTACATCCATCCCTGCCTCCATCCCTGCATCCATCCCTGTGTCCCCATCTCTGTGTCCCCTTCTCCATCCCTATGTCCCCCCTGCTCCATCCCTATATCTACGCTTATGCCCACCCCATCCCTGCATCCATCCCGGCATCCATCCCTGTCTCCATCCCCATGTCCCCACCTTCTCCACCCCTATACCAACACCTATGCCCACCCCATCCCTGCATCCATCCCTGCATCCATCCCTGTGCCCCAATCCCTTTGTCCCCCCTTCTCCATCCCTATATCTACGCCTATGCCCACCCCACTGCTGCATCCATCCCGGCATCCATCCCTGTCTCCATCCCCATCCCTGTCTCCATCCCTATCCCTGTCTCCATCCCCATCCCTGTCTCCATCCCTGTCTCCATCCCTGTCTCCATCCCTATGTCCCCCCTTCTCCATCCCTATATCTATGCCTATGTGCACCCCATCCCTGCGTCCATCCCCTTCTCCATCCCCATCCCCATCCCTTTGTCCCCCCTTCTCCACCCCTACACCTATGCCTATGCCCACCCCATCCCTGCATCCATCCCTGCATCCATCCCTGCATCCATCCCTGTCTCCATCCCTATGTCCCCCCTTCTCCATCCCTATACGCACCCCTATACCCACCCCACCACTGCATCCATCCCCGTCTCCATCCCCATGTCCCCCCCTTCTCCACCCCTATACCCACCCCTTCCCCCCCCACCCCCCACCCCCAAACCCCCCAAACCCCACATCCCACCCCACAGTCTTCGTCTGCCCGGGCCCTTTACAGCGCATCGGCGCTGCCACATCCAGCCACGAATCACCCCACCAAGCCGGCGCCTGGTGCCGGGACCCACTGCAAGCGGGCGAACGCCTCTACGTCCTTCCTTGGCTTCCCTACCGCACCGATACCCTCACCGAATACGCCTCTTGGGCCGACTTCCAAACCGGCCGCCACACCACCACCTACCGCCTTCCCCACCGCGCCGACGGCACCGGTTTCGTGGTCTACGACGGCGCCGCCTTCTACAACAAAGAACGCACCCGCAACGTGGTCAAATACGACTTACGCACCCGCATCAAGAGCGGCGAGGCCGCCGTCGGCGCCGCCAACTACCACGACACCTCGCCCTACCGTTGGGGAGGCAAGACCGACATCGACCTTGCCGCCGATGAGGACGGTCTATGGGTTATCTACGCCACCGAAGCCAACGGCGGCCGTTTGGTCTTGAGTCAACTCAACCCTTACACCCTCCGCTTCGAAGGCACTTGGGAGACCGCTTACGACAAGCGAGCCGCCTCGGACGCCTTCATGGCTTGCGGCGTGCTCTACGTCTTACGGAGCGTCTACTTGGAAGACGACAGCGAACGCGCCGGCAACGCTTTGGTCTACGCCTTCGACACGCGGCGGCGACGCGGGCAAGCCTTGGCCGTGCCTTTCCCCAACCCTTACCAGTTCGTGGCGTCCGTGGGGTACAACCCCCGCGATAACCAGCTCTACGTCTGGAACAACCACTTCTTGCTGCGCTACGCCCTCGCCTTCGGGCCCGCGCAAGGGGCTGCTGGTGAGGATGGGGGGGGGATTTGGGGGGGGAGGACTTAGGGGGCACGGTGGGGTAGTTGGAGGGGGGGCTTATTGGGGTACTTGGGGGGGATTGGGGCAATTGGGGGGACTGGGGTGCTTGGGGGGGGCCTATTGGGGCACTTGGGGGGCCCATTGGTGCACTTGGGGGGTCCATTGGGGCACTTGGGGGGGTATTGGGGCACTTGGGGGGTCTTGGGGCACTTGGGGGGGGGCATTGGGGTACTTGGGGGGCCATTGGGGCACTTGGGGTATTGGGGCACTTGGGGGGTATTGGGGCACTTGGGGGGTCATTGGGGCACTTGGGGGGGCCTATTGGGGCACTTGGGGTCTTGGGGCACTTGGGGGGGGCCCATTGGGGCAAATGGGGGGGATTGGGGCACTTGGGGGGTCATTGGGGCACTTGGGGGGGCCATTGGGGTACTTGGGGGGCCATTGGGGCACTTGGGGGGCCACTGGGGCACTTGGGGGTCCATTGGGGCACTTGGGGGGTCTTGGGACACTTGGGGTCTTGGGGCACTTGGGGGGAGGGCCCATTGGGGCACTTGGGGGGTCATTGGGGCACTTGGGGGGTATTGGGGCACTTGGGGGGTCATTGGGGCACTTGGGGTCTTGGGGCACTTGGGGGGCCATTGGTTTACTTGAGGGTCTTGGTTCACTTGGGGGGGCATTGGTTCACTTGGGGGTCCTGGTTCACTTGGGGGTCCCATTGGTTCACTTGGGGGCCATTGGTGCACTTGGGGGTCCCATTGGTTCACTTGGGGGTCTTGGTTCACTTAGAGGGCCATTGGTTCACTTGGGGATCATGGTTCACTTGGGGGTCCTGGTTCACTTGGGGGTCCCATTGGTTCACTTGGGGGTCCCATTGGTTCACTTGGGGGTCTTGGTTCACTTAGAGGGCCATTGGTTCACTTAGGGGGCCATTGGGGCACGTGGGGGTCTTGGTTCACTTGGGGGTCCCATTGGTTCACTTGGGGGTCTTGGTTCACTTGGGGGTCTTTTTTCACTTGGGGGGCCATTGCTTCACTTGGGGGTCTTGGTTCACTTGGAGGTCTTGGTTCACTTAGAGGGCCATTGGTTCACTTAGGGGGCCATTGGGGCACTTGGGGGTCTTGGTTCACTTGGGGGCCATTGGTTCAGTTGGGGTCCTGGTTCACTTGGAGGTCCCATTCACTTGTGGGTCCCATTCACTTGGGTGCCCTGGGTCTCTTGTGGGTCCCATTCACTTGTGGGTCCCATTCACTTGTGGGTCCTGGGTCACTTGGGGGTCCCATTCACTTGGGGGTCCCATTCACTTGGGTGCCCTGGATCACTTGTGGGTCCCATTCACTTGTGGGTCCTGGGTCTCTTGTGGGTCCCATTCACTTGGGTGCCCTGGGTCACTTGTGGGTCCCGTTCACTTGTGGGTCCCATTCACTTGTGGGTCCCAGCCCCCTCTGGGTCACCCCAGCCCCGGGCTCTCCGCTCTCTCTTCGGTTGCTGCTGCCCCATAGGGGGGGTGGTTCCGGGGGGCTCCGAGCGCCCCCCAACCTCCCCCCCCCCCTCCCCCTCCAGGTCCGGTGACAACCGCGCCCCCCAGCGCCGCCGCCCCCCCTCGCCCCACAGCGCCCCCCAGCTCCCCTCCCCCCAGCCCCACTGCTCGGCGCGGCCCCCAAACCCCGCGCCCGGGCCCTCCCCCCCCCGGCGCCCCTCCCCCCGCTCACAGCGCAGCCACCCCCGGGGGCCCCTCCCCCCCCCCGGTTCCCCGGGACCCCCCCCCGGAGCGGGGGGGGGAGGGGGGACCCCCCCGCCCCCCCCCCCCCCCCGCCGCCCCCCGCCGCCCCCCCCCCGGAGCCGGCGGTGGGGGAGGGGGTGGGGGTGGGGCGGGGGGGGCGGGGCCTGGGGGGGGGGCGGGGCGGCTCTGCGAGGCCCGCGAGGTGCGCAGGGTGCAGTGGCCCGCGGCGCAGCAGGGGGTGGTGGTGGAGAGACCCTGCCCCAAGGGAACCCGAGGTATGGGGGGGGCTATGGGGCAATGGGGGGGGAATGGGGGGCTATGGGGTGATGGGGGAATGGGGGGGAATGGGGGGCAATGGGGGGAATGGGGGGCTATGGGGTAATGGGGGTGATGGGGTAATGGGGGTGATGGGGGTAATGGGGGTGATGGGGGTGATGGGGGGAATGGGGGGAATGGGGGGCTATGGGGTAATGGGGGGCTATGGGGTAATGGGGTAATGGGGGGGTGGGGGTGATGGGGGGAATGGGGGAATGGGGGGCAATGGGGGGAATGGGGGGCTATGGGGTAATGGGGGTGATGGGGTAATGGGGGGAATGGGGTGATGGGGGTGATGGGGGGAATGGGGCTGATGGGGATAATGGGGGGAATGGGGGGTGATAATGAGGGTGATGGGGTAATGGGGGTGATGGGGTAATGGGGGGGAATGGGGTAATGGGGAGGTGGGGGTGATTGGGGGAATGGGGGGCAATGGGGGGCTATGGGGTAATGGGGGTGATGGGGGTGATGGGGGGAAATGGGGAATGGGGGGCAATGGGGGGAATGGGGGTTAATGGGGATCAATGGGGGTAATGGGGTAATGGGGTGAATGGAGGGTAATGGGGATCAATGGGGTAATGGGGGAATGGGGGCAATGGGAGAATGGGGGGCAATGGGGGCAATGGGGGGCTATGGGGTAATGGGGGTGATGGGGTAATGGGGGGGAATGGGGTAATGGGGTGATGGGGGTGATGGGGGGAATGGGGAATGGGGGGCAATGGGGGGAATGGGGGGCTATGGGGTAATGGGGGGTAATGGAGTAATGGGGGAATGGGGGCAATGGGGTAATGGAGGGAATGGGGGTGATGGGGGCTATGGGGTAATGGGGGGGTGGGGTAATAGGGGGAGTGGGGTAATGGGGGGCTATGGGGTAATGGGGGCAATGGGAGAATGGGGGGAATGAGGGAATGGGGGGAATGGGGGCTATGGGGTAATGGGGGTAATGGGGGTAATGGGGGAAATGGGGGGAATGGGGGCTATGGGGTAATGGGGGGGTAATGGGGGTAATGGGGTAATGGGCGAATGGGGGCTATGGGGTAATGGGGGTAATGGGAGGCTATGGGGTAATGGGGGGCAATGGGGTAATGGGGGTGATGGTGTAATGGGGGCAATGGGGGGAATGGGGGCTATGGGGTAATGGGGGGGTGGGGTTGATGGGGGGAATGGGGGAATGGAGGTAATGGCAGTAATGGGGGCAATGGGGTAAGGGAGCCTATGGGGTAATGGGGGAGGTGATGGGGGAATGGGGGGAATGGGGGAATGGGGGTGATGGTGTAATGGGGGCAATGGGGGTAATTGGGCGCTATGGTTTAATGGGGGTAATGGGGGGTATGGGGACTATGGGGTAATGAGGGGCAATGGGGTGATGGGGGGAATGGGGATGGGCACTGGGGGACGGGGGCAATGGCGGAAATGGGGGCTCTGGGGTAATGGGGGCCTATGGGATATTTGGGGGGCTGTGGGGTAATGGATTGGCTATAGGGCACCCACCCTGACCCCCATCCTGACCCCCACCCTGACCCCCCTGTGACCCCCCCCCGTGACCCCCACCCCCACCCTGACCCCCCGTGCCCCCCCCCTGACCCCCACCCTGACCCCCCCGTGACCCCCATGTGACCCCCCCGTGACCCCCCCGTGACCCCCACCCTGACCCCCCCCCTGACCCCCCCGTGACCCCCACCCCGACCCCCACCCTGACCTCCCCCCCACCCCCACCCCCGTGACCCCCACCCTGACCCCCCCGACCCCCCCGTGACCCCCACCCTGACCCCCACCCTGACCCCCCCGTGACCCCCCTGTGACCCCCACCCTGACCCCCCCGTGACCCCCCGTGACCCCCACCCTGACCCCCACCCTGACCCCACCCTGACCCCCCTGTGACCCCCCCGTGACCCCCACCCTGACCCCCACCCTGCCCCCCCCAGGCATCGCCTCCTTCCAGTGCCTGCTGGGCTTGGGGGTCTGGAACCCCCGCGGCCCCGACCTCAGCAACTGCACCAGCCCCTGGGTGAACCAAGTGGCACAGAAGGTACGGGGGGGGCACCCCAAAAATGGGGAACCCCAAAACCGGGGCACCCCAAAACCGGGGAGCCCCAAAACCGGGGCACCCCAAAACCGGGGGCACCCCAAAACCGGAGACACCCCAAAACTGGGGAACCCCAAAAACGGGGACACCCCAAAACCGGGGCACCCCAAAATGGGGGAACCCCAAAACCGGGGCACCCCAAAACTGGGGAACCCCAAAACCGGGGATACCCCAAAAACAGGGGAACCCCAAAACCGGAGACACCCCAAAACTGGGGACACCCCGATGGGGGCACCCCAAAACCGGGGACACCCCAAAACTGGGGGAACCCCAAAACCGGGGGAACCCCAAAACCGAGGGCACCCTAAAACTGGGGACACCCCAAAACCGGGGGCACCCCAAAACTGGGGGAACCCCAATGGGAAGCACTCAAAACCGAGGTCACCCCAATGAGATCCTCCCAAAACTGGGGACACCACGATGGGGTCACCCCAAAACTGGGGACACCCCAAAACAGGGGACATCCCAAAACCAGGGGAACCCCAAAACTGGGGACATCCCGATGGGGGCACCCCAAAACTGGGGATACCCCAAAACCAGGGACACCCTGATGGGGGCACTCCAAAACTGGGGGCACCCCAAAACTGGGGACACCACGATGGGGGCACCCCAAAATTGGGGACACCCCAAAACCGGGGACACCCCGATGGAGGCACCCCAAAAATGGGGACACCCCGATGGGATCCTCCCAAAACTGGGGGCACCCCAAAACTGGGGGAACCCCAGAACTGGGGGAACCCCAATGGGAAGCCCTCAAAACCGAGGTCACCCCAATGCGATCCTCCCAAAACCGGGGGAACCCCAAAACCGGGGGCACCCCAAAACTGGGGACACCCCAAAACTGGGGGAACCCCAATGGGAACCCCTCAAAACCGGGGTCACCCCAATGAGATCCTCCCAGAACTGGGGACACCACGATGGGGGCACTCTGTTTTGGGTCCGTTTGTGCCGGTTTGGGTCCGTTTGCGCTGTTTTGGGTCCGTTTTGGGTCCGTTTGCGCTGTTTTGGGTCCGTTTGGGTCAGTCTGTTTTGTGTCCGTTTGCTCTGTTTTGGGTCCGTTTGCTGTTTTGGGTCCAATTTGGGTCAGTTTGTGCTGTTTTGGGTCCGTTTTGGGTCCGTTTCGGCTCCGTTTGTGCCATTTTGGGTCCGTTTCAGTTCCGTTTGTGCCGTTTTGGGTCTGTTTGGGTCCGTTTGGGTTGGTTTGGGACGGTTTTGGGTCCGTTTGTGCCGTTTTGGGTCCGTTTCGTCTCTGTTTGTTCCGTTTTGGGTCCGTTTGCACTGTTTTGGGTCCTTTTTGGGCCTGTTTGCTCTGTTTTGGGTCCATTTGGGTCCATTTGGGTCCGTTTGGGTCGGTTTGGGTTTGTTTGCTTCGGTTTGGGTCGGTTTTGGGTCCGTTTGCGCTGTTTTGGGTCCGTTTTGGGTCCGTTTGTGCTGTTTTGGGTCTGTTTTGGGCCCGTTTGTGCCGTTTTGGGTCCGTTTGCACTGTTTTGGGTCTGTTTTGGGTCTGTTTTCACCGGTTTGTGTCTGTTTGCGCCGGTTTGGGTCCGTTTGTGCCATTTTGGGTCCGTTTCGTCTCCGTTTGTGCCGTTTTGGGTCCGTTTGCTCTGTTTTGGGTCCTTTTTGGGTCCGTTTGCTCTGTTTTGGGTCCGGTTGGGTCCATTTGGGTCCGTTTGGGTCGGTTTGGGTTTGTTTGGGTCGGTTTGGGTCGGTTTTGGGTCTGTTTGCTCTGTTTTGGGTCCGTTTGGGTCCGTTTTGGGTCCGTTTGCACTGTTTCGGGTCCGTTTGGGTCGGTTTGGGTCTGTTTTGGGTCCGTTTGGGTCGGTTTGGGTCCGTTTGCACCGTTTTGGGTCCGTTTGCGATGTTTTGGGTCTGTTTTGGGTCTGTTTTCACCGGTTTGGGTCTGTTTGCGCCGGTTTGGGTCCGTTTCATCTCCGTTTGTGCCGTTTTGGGTCCGTTTGCTCTGTTTTGGGTCCTTTTTGGGTCCGTTTGCTCTGTTTTGGGTCCGGTTGGGTCCGGTTGGGCCGGTTTGGGTCCTTTTGGGTCGGTTTGGGTTTGTTTGGGTCGGTTTGTGACGGTTTTGGGTCCGTTTGTGCCGTTTTGGGTCCGTTTGCTCTGTTTTGGGTCCTTTTTGGGTCCGTTTCCTCTGTTTTGGATCCGTTTGGGTCCGTTTGGGTCGGTTTGGGTCCGTTTGGGTCGGTTTGGGTCGGTTTTGGGTCCGTTTGCGCTGTTTTGTGTCCGTTTTGGGTCCGTTTGTGCCGTTTTGGGTCCGTTTTGGGTCTGTTTGTGCCGTTTTGGGTCCGTTTTGGGTCCATTTGCGCTGTTTTGGGTCTGGTTTGGGTCCGTTTGTGCCGGTTTGGGTCCGTTTGGGTCGGTTTGGGTCGTTTTGGGTCCGTTTGCGCTGTTTTGTGTCCGTTTGTGCCGTTTTGGGTCCGTTTGTGCCGTTTTGGGTCCGTTTTGGGTCCATTTGCGCTGTTTTGGGTCTGGTTTGGGTCCGTTTGTGCCGTTTTGGGTCCGTTTGCGCTGTTTTGGGTCTGTTTTGGGTCTGTTTTCACCGGTTTGGGTCTGTTTGCGCCGGTTTGAGTCCGTTTGTGCCATTTTGGGTCCATTTCATCTCCGTTTGTGCCGTTTTGGGTCCGTTTGCTCTGTTTTGGGTCCTTTTTGGGTCCGTTTGTGCCGTTTTGGGTCCGTTTGCACAGTTTTGGGTCCGTTTCGTCTCCGTTTGTGCCGTTTTGGGTCCGTTTGGGTCGGTTTTGGGTCCGTTTGCGCTGTTTTGTGTCCGTTTGTGCCGTTTTGGGTCCGTTTTGGGTCTGTTTGTGCCGTTTTGGGTCCGTTTTGGGTCCATTTGGGTTGGTTTTGGGTCCATTGGGGTTGGTTTGGGTTGGTTTTTGGTTCGTTTGCACTGTTTTGGGTCCGTTTCGGCTCCGTTTGTGCCGTTTTGGGTCCGTTTTGGGTCTGTTTGTGCCGTTTTGGGTCCGTTTTGGGTCCATTTGCGCTGTTTTGGGTCTGGTTTGGGTCCGTTTGTGCCGTTTTGGGTCCGTTTGCGCTGTTTTGGGTCTGTTTTGGGTCCGTTTCACCGGTTTGGGTCTGTTTGCCCGGTTTGAGTCCGTTTGTTTTTGGGTCCATTTCCGTTTGTGCCGTTTTGGGTCCGTTTGCTCTGTTTTGGGTCCTTTTTGGGTCCGTTTGCTCTGTTTTGGGTCCGGTTGGGTCCGTTTGTGCCGTTTTGGGTCCGTTTGCTCTGTTTTGGGTCCTTTTGGGGTCCGTTTCCTCTGTTTTGGATCCGTTTGGGTCCGTTTGCGCTGTTTTGTGTCCGTTTGTGCCGTTTTGGGTCCGTTTTGGGTCTGTTTGTGCCGTTTTGGGTCCATTTTGGGTCCATTTGCGCTGTTTTGGGTCCGTTTGTGCAGTTTTGGGTCCGTTTCGGGTCCGTTTGCTCTGTTTTGGGTCCGTTTTGGGTCCGTTTGCTCTGTTTTGGGTCCGTTTTGGGTCCGTTTGTGCTGTTTCGGGTCCGTTTGGGTCGGTTTAGGTCGGTTTTGGGTCCGTTTTGGGTCCGTTTGCTCTGTTTTGGGTCCGTTTTGTGTCCGTTTGCTCTGTTTCGGGTCGGTTTTGGGTCCGTTTGCTCTGTTTTGGGTCCGTTTTGGCTCTGTTTGCTCTGTTTTGGGTCGGTTTTGGGTCCGTTTCGGCTCCGTTTGTGCCGTTTTGTGTCCATTTCGGTTCCATTTGTGCCGGTTTGGGTCCGTTTGTGTCGGTTTTGGGTCCATTGGGGTCGGTTTGGCTCGGTTTTGGGTCCATTTGGGTTGGTTTTGGGTCCATTTCGGCTCTGATTGTGCCATTTTGGGTCCGTTTGCTCTGTTTTGGGTCGGTTTTGGGTCCGTTTGCTCTGTTTTGGGTCCGTTTCGTCTCCGTTTGCTCTGTTTTGGGTCCGTTTTGGGTCCGTTTGCTCTGTTTTGGGTCGGTTTCGGGTCTGTTTCGTGTCCGTTTCGGTTCCTTCTCCCACTGTGTCTCCCCCGGGCAGATCAAGAGCGGCGAGAACGCCGCCAGCATCGCCGCGGACCTGGCCCGGCTCACGCGGGGCCCCGTCTACGCCGGCGACGTGAGCTCGGGCGTGCGGCTCCTGGAGCAGCTCCTCGACATCCTGGACGCGCAGCTCCAGGCCCTGAGGCCGCTGGAGAGGGAATCGGCGGGGAAGAACTACAACAAGGTGGGGGCACCCCATGGGGAGAGAGGGGCACCTGTGGGTGATACAGGGGCACCTATGGGGGATAGAGGGGCACCCCATAGGAGACAGGGGCAGCCCATAGGGAGACAGAGGCACCCCATAGGGGAGACAGGGGCACCACATAGGGGAGAGAGGGGCACCCCATAGGGGAGACAGGGGCACCCCATAGGGAGAGAGGGGCACCCCATAGGGGAGAGAGGGGCACCCCATAGGGAGAGAGGGGCACCCCATAGGGGAGAGAGGGGCACCCCATAGGGAGACAGGGGCACCGCATAGGGGAGACAGGGGCACCCCATAGGGGAGAGAGGGGCACCCCATAGGGGAGAGAGGGGCACCTATGGGGGATAGAGGGGCACCTATGGGGGATAGAGGGGCACCCCATAGGGGAGAGAGGGGCACCCCATGGGGAGACAGAGGCACCCCATAGGGGGGACAGAGGCACCCCATAGAGAGACAGGGGCACCTCATAGCGGAGAGAGGGGCACCTATGGGGGATAGAGGGGCACCTATGGGGGATAGAGGGGCACCTCATAGGGGAGAGAGGGGCACCCCATAGGGGAGAGAGGGGCACCTCATAGGGGAGAGAGGGGTACCCCATAGGAGAGAGGGGCAGCCCATAGGGAGACAGAGGCACCCCATAGGGGAGAGAGGAGCACCCCATAGGGGAGGCGGGGGGCACCTATGGGTGATAGAGGGACCCCTATGGGTGATACAGGGACAGGGGCACCCCTATACCTGAGCCAGGGCACCCCAAAGAGCTACAATAAGGTCAGGGCAGACCCGAAATGGGAGCCGGGGCACCCCCAAAAGGGACCCAGGGCACCCCAATATGGGCAAGGAACCCCCAAACTGAGCCAGGGGCACCCCAATATGGGCAAGGAACCCCCAAACTGAGCCAGGGCACCCCTATATGGGCAAGGAACCCCTAAACTGAGCCAGGGGCACCCCAATATGGGACAGGGGCCCCCCAAAGAGCTACACCAAGGTCAGGGCAGCCCCAAATGGGCCGGGGGACCCAAATATGGGGCAGGGAACCCTCAAAGAAGGTCAGAGCACCCCTAAACATGGACGGGACACCCCCAAACGGGACAGGGCACCCCCAAATAGTTACAGGGGACCCCAAAACTGACCCAAGGGACCCCAAAACAGGGCACCCCTAACACGGACTGGACACCCCAAAACTGGGCTGTGGGGCACCCCAAAACTGCCTTTGGGGACCCAAAACCCTGCCCCAGAGGTCAGAGTCCTCCTGCCCCACACATTGGGGGGGTCCCAGCCCCACACTTGTGGGTCCGGCCCCACCGGTTCTGTTGTTCCCCCCCCCCCAGATGCACAAGCGTGAGCGCACGTGCAAGGATTACATCAAGGTGAGTGGGGGGCGTGGCCTCTGCATGGGTGGGGCTTGGGGGGCGGGGCATGAGGTGGGCGGGGCTTGGGGGCGGGGAATGGGGTGGGAGGGGCTTGGGGGGGCGGGGAATTGGGGGGGAGTTGGTATAGGTGGGGTGGGCGTGGCCTGAGATGGAGGGGGCGTGGTTTAGGCATGGAGGTGGGGCGTTGGGGTGGGCGGGGCCTATGTTTGTGGGCGTGGTCTGATGGGGGTGGCCTGAGGTCTAAGTGTTGGGGGCGTGGCTTTGAGTGCATGGGTGTGGTCTGACGCGAAGGGGGCGTGGCTTGTTATAGGTCAGGTGGGCGTGGCCTGGTGGGGGGTCACAGTCTGAGGGGTGGGGGCGTGGCTTGAGAGGATGGGCGTGGCCAGATGCAGAGGGGGGCATGGTCTGTGATTGGTTAGACAGAGTCTAAGTGGTGGGGGCGTGGCTTTGAGAGCATGGGCGTGGCCTGATGCTGATGTTCTGCGATTGGTTAGGGTCTAAGGGGTGGGGGCGTGGCTTTGAGAGGATGGGCGTGGCCTGCGTTTAGGGGCGTGGCCTGCTATTGGTTAGAGTCTAAAGGGTGGGGGCGTGGCTTTGAGACCATGGGCGTGTCCTGAGGGTCCACGTAGTTGGGGCGTGGCCAGATAGGGGGCGTGTCCCGGAGAGGATGGCGCAGTGGGTGGAGCCTGCTGCGGTGGGCGTGGCCTGAGCGGAGGTGGCGTGGCTTTTAAGGGATCATAACCATGTGGGTGTGGCCTAAGGGGCCGTGGCTTGTTAGGTGTGATTGTGGGCGTGGCCTGATGCTGTGGGGGGCGTGGCCTGCGATTGGCACAGACTCTCCGCGGTGGGGGCGTGGCTTTGTGAGCATGGGCGTGGCCTGATGCTGATTTTCTGCGATTGGTTAGGGTCTAAGGGGTGGGGGCGTGGCTTGAGAGGATGGGCGTGGCCTGGCTGGATGCGGCAGTGGGTGGAGCCTGTCGTTGTGGGCGTGGCCTGAGCAGAATGGGCGTGGTCTGCGATTGGTTTGACAGCGTCTAAGTGGTGGGGGCGTGGCTTTGAGAGCATGGGCGTGGCCTGATGCTGATGTTCTGCGATTGGTTAGGGTCTAAGGGGTGGGGGCGTGGCTTAGAGAGGATGGGCGTGTCCTATGTCCTGGGAGGGGGCGTGTCCTATGTCCTTGTAAGGGGGCGTGTCCTATGTCCTGGGAGGGGGGCGTGTCCTATGTCCTTGGAGGGGGGCGTGTCCTATGGCCTGGGAGGGGGGCGTGGCCTGCGATTGGCACAGACTCTCCGCGGTGGGGGCGTGGCTTGAGAGGATGGGCGTGGCCTGTCTGAATGCGGCAGTGGGTGGAGCCTGTCATTGTAGGCGTGCCCTGAGCGTTATGGGCGTGACCCGTGATTGGTTAGACAGAGTCTGAGGGGTGGGGGCGTGGCTTTGAGAGCATGGGCGTGGCCTGATGCTGATGTTCTGCGATTGGTTAGTCTAACGGGTGAGGGCGTGGCTTAGAGAGGATGGGCGTGGCCTATGTCCTGAGAGGGGGGCGTGTCCTATGTCCTGGGAGGGGCGTGTCCTATGTCCTTGGAGGGGGGGCGTGTCCTATGTCCTTGTAAGGGGGCGTGTCCTATGTCCTCGGAGGGGGGCGTGTCCTATGTCCTTGGAAGGGGGGGCGTGTCCTATGTCCTTGGAAGGGGGGCGTGTCCTATGTCCTTGGAAGGGGGGGGTGTGTCCTATGTCCTTGTAAGGGGGCGTGTCCTATGTCCTTGGAGGGGGGGCGTGTCCTATGTCCTTGGAAGGGGGGCGTGTCCTATGTCCTTGTAAGGGGGCGTGTCCTATGTCCTCGGAGGGGGGCGTGTCCTATGTCCTTGGAGGGGGGGCGTGTCTTATGTCCTCGGAGGGGGGCGTGTCCTATGTCCTTGGAAGGGGGGCGTGTCCTATGTCCTTGGAGGGGGGCGTGTCCTATGTCCTTGTAAGGGGGGCGTGTCCTATGTCCTTGGAGGGGGGGCGTGTCCTATGTCCTGGGATGGGGGGGGCGTGGCCACCTCTTTGTAACCCCGCCCCCCCCGTCCGCAGGCGGTGGTGGAGGCCGTGGACAACCTCCTGCGTGCCGAGGCGCTGGAGTCGTGGCGGGACATGGGGGGCGCGCAGCGGGCGCACACGGCCACGCTGCTGCTCGACGTCCTGGAGGAGGGAGCCTTCCTGCTGGCCGACAACGTCCGCGAGCCCGCGCGCTTCCTGGCCGCCAGGCAGAACCTGGGTGAGGGGCCCGGGGGGATGAGCGTGGCTATGGGGGGGGGACCCACACGTGTGGGTCGGAGAGAGAAGTGTCTGCCCCATTGGGTGACCCATTGCTATGGGGTGACTCCCACCCATAGCCCATAGACCCCAGTGTCCGCCAGTTTGGGAGACCCATTGCTATGGGACGACCCCTACCCATGACCCATAGACCCCAATGTCCCTCCCGTTGGGATACCCATTGCTATGGGGGTGACCCCCACCCATGGGCTATGGACCCCACTATCATCCCATTGGGATACCCATGTCTGTATGTGACCCACACCAATGGGCTATAGAGAGCAGTGTGCATCCCATTGGGATACCCATTGCTATGGGGTGACCCCCACCCATGACCCATAGACCCCAGTGTCCCCCCCATTGGGATACCCATTGCTATAGGGTGACCCCCACCCATAGCCCATAGACCCCAGTGTCCAGCCCATTGGGTGACCCATTGCTATGGGGGGACTCACACCTATGGGTCATAGAGAGCAGTGTGCATCCCATTGGGATGCTCATTGCTATGGCAGGGACCCACACGTGTGGGTCGGAGAGAGAAGCATCTGCCCCATTGGGATGCTCATTGCTATGGGGTGACATGCACCCATGGGTCATAGAGCGCAGTGAGCGTCCCATTGGGTGACCCATTGCTATGGGGTGACATGCACCCATGGGCCATAGAGCACAGTGTGCATCCCATTGGGTGACCCATTGCTATGGGGTGACTCCCACCCATAGCCCATAGACCCCAGTGTCTGCCCCATTGGGAGACGCATTGCTATGGGGGGACCCACACCAATGGGTCATAGAGAGCAGTGTCTGCCCCATTGGGATGCTCATTGCTATGGGGGGATCCACACCAATGGGTCATAGAGAGCAGTGTCTGCCCCATTGGGATGCTCATTGCTATGGGGGGGACCCACACGTGTGGGTCGGAGAGAGAAGTGTCTGCCCCATTGGGATGCTCATTGCTATGGGGGGACCCACACATGTGGGTCATAGAGAGAAGCGTGCATCCCATTGGGATGCTCATTGCTATGGCAGGGACCCACACGTGTGGGTCAGAGAGAGAAGTGTCTGCCCCATTGGAGACCCATTGCTATGGGGTGACTCCCACCCATGGGCTATAGACCCCAGTGTCTGCCCCATTCGGATGCTCATTGCTATGGGGGGACTCACACCTATGGGTCATAGAGAGCAGTGTGCATCCCATTGGGATGCTCATTGCTATGGCAGGGACCCACACGTGTGGGTCGGAGAGAGAAGTGTCTGCCCCATTGGGTGACCCATTGCTATGGGGTGACCCACACCAATGGGCCATAGAGAGCAGTGTGCATCCCATTGGGATGCTCATTGCTATGGGGTGACTCCCACCCATGACCCATAGACCCCAGTGTCCCCCCCATTGGGATACCCATTGCTATGGGGGGGACCCACACCTATGGGTCATAGAGCACTGTGTGCATCCCATTGGGATACCCATTGCTATGGGGTGACTCCCACCCATGGGTTATAGAGACCAATGTCCACTCTATTGGGATACCCATTGCTATGGGGTGACCCCCACCCATGGCCCATAGACCCCAGTGTCCCCCCCATTGGGAGACCCATTGCTATAGGGTGATCCCCACCCATAGCCCATAGACCCCAGTGTCCTCCAGTTTGGGAGACCCATTGCTATGGGGCGACCCCTAGCCATGACCCATAGACCCCAATGTCCCTCCCATTGGGATACCCATTGCTATGGGGGTGACCCCCACCCATGGGCTATAGACCCCGCTATCATCCGATTGGGATACCCATGGCTGTGAGTGACCCCCACCTATGGGTCATAGAGCACAGTGTGCATCCCATTGGGATACCCATTGCTATGGGGGTGACCCCCACCCATGGGCCATAGACCCCAGTGTCCCCCCCATTGGGATACCCATTGCTATGGGGTGACCCCCACCCATAGCCCATAGACCCCAGTGTCTGCCCCATTGGGTGACCCATTGCTATGGGGTGACACGCACCCATGGGTCATAGAGGCCAGTGTGCATCCCATTGGGAGACCCATGGCTATGGGGGAACTCACACCTATGGGTCATAGAGAGCAGTGTGCGTCCCATTGGGAAACCCATGGCTATGGGGGGGACTCACACCTATGGGTCATAGAGTGCAGTGTGTATCCCATTGGGAGACCCATTGCTATGGAGGGGACCCACACCTATGGGCTATAGAGAACTGCATCCCATTGGGATGACCCATGGCTGTGGGTGACGGATATCTATGGGTCATAGAGAGCAGTGTGCATCCCATTGGGATGCTCATTGCTATGGGGTGACCCCCACCCATAGCCCATAGACCCCAGTGTCCCCCCCATTGGGATACCCATTGCTATGGGGTGACCCCCACCCATAGCCCATAGACCCTAGTGTCTGCCCCATTGGGATGCTCATTGCTATGTGGCGACCCCCACCCATGGGCTATAGACCCCACTATCATCCCATTGGGAGACCCATGGCTGGGGGGGGACCCACACCCATGGGCCATAGAGAGCAGTGTGCATCCCATTGGGAAACCCATGGCTATGGGGGGGACTCACACCTATGGGTCATAGAGTGCAGTGTGTATCCCATTGGGAGACCCATTGCTATGGAGGGGACCCACACCTATGGGCTATAGACCCCACTATCATCCCATTGGGATACCCATGGCTGTGGGTGACGGATATCTATGGGTCATAGAGAGCAGTGTGCATCCCATTGGGAGACCCATTGCTATGGGGTGACCCCCACCCATAGCCCATAGACCCCAGTGTCCCCCCCATTGGGATACCCATTGCTATGGGGTGACCCCCACCCATAGCCCATAGACCCCAGTGTCCCCCCCATTGGGATACCCATTGCTGTGTGTGACCCCCACCTATGGGTCATAGAGCACAGTGTGCATCCCATTGGGATACCCATTGCTATGGGGTGACCCCCACCCATAGCCCATAGACCCCAGTGTCCCCCCCATTGGGATACCCATTGCTATGGGGTGACCCCCACCCATAGCCCATAGACCCCAGTGTCCCCCCCATCAGGGATACCCAAGCCTTAGCTCCCTGCTAGGATGCTGGGGCCCCCCATCCATGGGTCTGCGTGTGCCCCACAGTGCTGGAGGTGACGGTGCTCAACACGGAAGGGCAGCTCCAGGAGCTGGTGTTCCCCCAGGAATTTGGGGGCGAAACGGTGATCCAGCTGTCGGCCAACACCCTCAAACAGAACAGCCGCAACGGTGAGGGGCGCTGTGGGGCGCTATGGGGGGTATGGGGGCTATGGGGGGTATGGGGGCTATGGGGGGATGTGGGGGGATATGGGGCCATAGGGGGTATGGGGGATACGGGGGATATGGGGGGTATGGGGGGTATGGGGGGCTATGGGGGGCTATGGGGGCTATGGGGCCATAGGGGGTATGGGGGCTATGGGGGGGTATGGGGGGCTATGGGGGCTATGGGGCCATAGGGGGTATGGGGGCTATGGGGCCATAGGGGGTATGGGGGCTGGGGGGGGCTATGGGGGTATTGAGGCTATGGGGCCTACAGGGGGCTATGGGGCCATAGGGGGTATGGGGGCTATGGGGGCTATGGGGCTATGGGGGGCTATGGGGGACTTGTGGGAGTCTCAGAGGTCCCAGAAGTGTCTGGAGATGGTGGAATGGGGGCGCAGGGCTCGATGTGGGGCTGGGGGGGGGCTCTGTGTGGGGCTGTGTGTGGGGCTCCATGTGGGGCTCTATGTGGGTCTCGATGTGGGGCTGTGTGTGGGTCTCAGTGTGGGTCTCGATGTGGGGCTGTGTGTGGGGCTCTATGTGGGTCTCAGTGTGGGGCTGTGTGTGGGTCTCAGTGTGGGGCTCGATGTGGGGCTGTGTGTGGGTCTCAGTGTGGGTCTCGATGTGGGGCTGTGTGTGGGTCTCAGTGTGGGGCTTGATGTGGGGCTGTGTGTGGGGCTGTGTATGCGTCTCTATGTGGGGCTATGTGTGGGTCTCAGTGTGAGGCTCGATGTGGGGCTGTGTGTGGGTCTCAGTGTGGGGCTCGATGTGGGCCTGAGTGTGGGTCTCAGTGCGGGTCTGTATGTGGGGCTGTGTGTGGGTCTCAGTGTGGGGCTCGATGTGGGGCTGTGTGTGGGTCTCAGTGTGGGGCTTGATGTGGGGCTGTGTGTGGGTCTCAGTGCGGGGCTTGATGTGGGGCTGTGTGTGGGTCTCAGTGCGGGGCTCGATGTGGGGCTGTGTGTGGGTCTCAGTGTGGGGCTTGATGTGGGGCTGAGTGTGGGTCTCAGTGCGGGTCTGTATGTGGGGCTGTGTGTGGGTCTCAGTACGGGGCTTGATGTGGGGCTGTGTGTGGGTCTCAGTGTAGGGCTGTGTGTGGGTCTCAGTGCGGGTCTCAGTGCGGGTCTCTATGTGGGGCTGTGTGTGGGTCTCAGTGTAGGGCTGTGTGTGGGTCTCAGTGCGGGTCTCGATGTGGGGCTGTGTGTGGGTCTCAGTGTGGGTCTCAGTGTGGGTCTCGATGTGGGTCTCAGTGTGGGTCTCAGTGTGGGTCTCAGTGCGGGTCTCTGTCTGGGTCTCAGTGTGGGTCTCTGTGGGGCTGTGTGCAGGTCTCTATGTGGGGCTATGTGTGGGTCTCAGTGCGGGTCTCTATGTGGGGCTGTGTGTGGGTCCCAGTGCGGGTCTCGATGTGGGGCTGTGTGTGGGTCTTAGTGCGGGTCTCGATGTGGGGCTATGTGTGGGTCTCAGTGTGGGTCTCTATGTGGGTCTCAGTGTGGGTCTCGATGTGGGGCTGTGTGTGGGTCTCAGTGTGGGTCTCAGTGCGGGTCTCTGTCTGGGTCTCAGTGTGGGTCTCTGTGGGGCTGTGTGCAGGTCTCTATGTGGGGCTATGTGTGGGTCTCAGTGTGGGTCTCTATGTGGGGCTATGTGTGGGTCTCAGTGTGGGTCTCGATGTGGGGCTATGTGTGGGTCTCAGTGAGGGTCTCGATGTGGGGCTGTGTCCCCCCCTAGGGGTGGTGAAGGTCGTGTTCATCCTCTACAACAACCTGGGGCTGTGTGTGGGTCTCAGTGCGGGTCTCTGTGTGGGTCTCAGTGTGGGTCTCTATGTGGGGCTGTGTGTGGGGCTATGTGTGGGTCTCTATGTGGGTCTCTATGTGGGTCTCAGTGTGGGGCTATGTGTGGGTCTCAGTGTGGGTCTCGATGTGGGGCTATGTGTGGGTCTCAGTGTGGGTCTCGATGTGGGGCTGTGTCCCCCCCCTAGGGGTGGTGAAGGTCGTGTTCATCCTCTACAACAACCTGGGGCTGTGTGTGGGTCTCTATGTGGGGCTGTGTGCGGGTCTCTATGTGGGGCTATGTGTGGGTCTCAGTGTGGGTCTCTATGTGGGGCTGTGTGCGGGTCTGTATGTGGGTCTCTATGTGGGGCTGTGTGCAGGTCTCTATGTGGGGCTATGTGTGGGTCTCAGTGTGGGTCTCTATGTGGGGCTGTGTGTGGGTCTCAGTGTGGGTCTCGATGTGGGGCTGTGTGTGGGTCTCAGTGTGGGTCTCGATGTGGGGCTGTGTGTGGGGCTATGTGTGGGGCTATGTGTGGGTCTCTATGTGGGGCTGTGTGTGGGTCTCAGTGTGGGTCTCTATGTGGGGCTGTGTGCAGGTCTCTATGTGGGGCTATGTGTGGGTCTCAGTGTGGGTCTCGATGTGGGGCTGTGTGTGGGTCTCAGTGCGGGTCTCTATGTCGGGCTGTGTGTGGGTCTCAGTGTGGGTCTCGATGTGGGGCTGTGTCCCCCCCTAGGGGTGGTGAAGGTCGTGTTCATCCTCTACAACAACCTGGGGCTGTGTGCGGGTCTCTATGTGGGGCTGTGTGCGGGTCTCTATGTGGGGCTATGTGTGGGTCTCAGTGTGGGTCTCGATGTGGGGCTGTGTCCCCCCCTAGGGGTGGTGAAGGTCGTGTTCATCCTCTACAACAACCTGGGGCTGTTCCTGCCCACCGAGAACGCGTCCGTGCGCCTGGGGGGCGAGGGGGGCGCCCGCGCCCCCCCATTGGTCGTCAACTCCCAGGTCATCGCCGCCTCCATCAACAAGGAGTCGAGCCGCGTGTTCCTCATGGACCCCGTCACCTTCACCCTGCCCCACCTCGAGGTGGGACCCCCAGGGACCTCCACTGACACCCATTGAGCTCATTGACACCCACTGACACCCATTGACACCCATTGACAGCCATTGAGCTCATTGACACCCATTGACCTCATTGACACCCATTGACACCCACTGACAGCCATTGAGCTCATTGACACCCATTGACCTCATTGACACCCATTGACCTCATTGACACCCATTGACACCCATTGACACCCACTGACAGCCATTGAGCTCATTGACACCCATTGACCTCATTGACACCCATTGACACCCATTGACACCCATTGAGCTCATTGACACCCATTGACAGCCACTGACACCCACTGACACCCATTGAGCTCATTGACACCCACTGACACCCATTGACACCCATTGACAGCCATTGAGCTCATTGACACCCATTGACCTCATTGACACCCATTGACACCCACTGACAGCCATTGAGCTCATTGACACCCATTGAGCTCATTGACACCCATTGACCTCATTGACACCCATTGACACCCACTGACAGCCATTGAGCTCATTGACACCCATTGACCTCATTGACACCCATTGACACCCATTGAGCTCATTGACACCCACTGACACCCATTGAGCGACACCCATTGAGCTCATTGACACCCATTGAACTCATTGACACCCACTGACAGCCATTGAGGTCATTGCCACCCATTGAGCTCATTGACACCCATTGACAGCCATTGACCTCATTGACACCCATTGACCTCATTGACACCCAGTGACAGCCATTGACACGCACTGACCTGATTGACACCCATTGACCTCATGGACACCCAACTGACACCCATTGACACCCACTGACACCTATTGACCCCATGGATGTCCATTGACCCCATGGATGTCCATTGACCCCATTGACAACCATTGACATCCATTGACCCCACTGACACCCATTTGACCCCACTGACGCCCATTGACCTCATTGACACCCACTGACAGCCATTGACATGTACTGACCTCATTGACCACATGGACACCCACTGACACCCATTGACCCCTACTGACACCCACTGACCTCATTGACACCCACTGACACCCATTGACCCCATTGACTCCATTGACATCCATTGACAGCCATTGACCCCATTGATGTCCATTGACCCCATTGACAGCCTTTGACACCTATTGACAGCCATTGACATCCATTGATCCCACTGACACCCATTGACGCCCACTGACACCCTTTGACATCCATTGACACCCATTGACCTCATTGACACCCATCGACACCCTTTGACATCCACTGACACCCTTTGACAGCCATTGACACCCCTTGACACCCATTGATACCCATTGATCCCATTGACCCCATTTACAGCCACTGACCGCAGTGACACCCACCGACACCCATTTACCCGTATTGACCCCCATTGATGCCCATTGACCCTCATTGATGCCCATTGACACCCATTGATGCCCATTGACCCCCATTGACCCCATTGACACCCACTGACACCCTTTGACACCCACTGACACCCATTGATACCCATTGATCCCATTGACCCCATTTACAGCCATTGACCACAGTGACACCCACCGACACCCATTTACCCATATTGACCCCCATCGATGCCCATTGACCCCTACTGATGTCCGTTGCCCCCCATTGATGCCCATTGACCCCTATTGATGTCTGTTGCCCCCCATTGAACCCCATTGGTGCCCATTGATGCCCATTGATGCCCATTGACCCCCATTGATGTCCGTTGCCCCCCATTGATGCCCATTGACCCCTATTGATGACTGTTGCCCCCCATTGGTGCCCATTGACCCCTATTGATGTCCGTTGCCCCCATTGATGCCCATTGACCCCTATTGATGTCTGTTGCCCCCACTGAACCCCATTGACCCCCATTGGTGCCCATTGACCCCCATTGATGCCCATTGACCCCCATGGATGTCCGTTGCCCCCCATTGATGCCCGACCCCTTTGATGACTGTTGCCTCCCATTGATGCCCATTGACCCCTATTGATGCCCATTGACCCCCATTGATGCCCATTGACCCCTATTGATGTCCGTTGCCCCCATTGACCCCCATTGACCCCCATTGATGCCCATTGACCCCCATTGACCCCCATTGATGCCCGTTGCCCCCCATTGATACCCATTGATGCCCATTGACCCCTATTGATGCCCGTTGACACCCATTGATGCCCATTGACCCCTACTGATGTCCGTTGCCTCCCATTGATGCCCATTGACCCCTATTGATGTCCGTTGCCCCCCATTGACCCCCATTGGTGCCCATTGTCCCCCACTGATGCCCGTTGCCCCCCATTGATGCCCATTGACACCCCTTGATGTCCGTTGTCCCTCATTGATGCCCATTGACACCCGTTGATGTCCGTTGCCCCCCATTGACCCCCATTGGTGCCCATTGATGCCCATTGGTGCCCATTGATGCCCATTGACCCCTATTGATGTCCGTTGCCCCCCATTGACCCCCATTGGTGCCCATTGACCCCCATTGATGCCCGTTGCCCCCCATTGATGCCCATTGACACCCCTTGATGTCCATTGTCCCTCATTGATGCCCATTGACCCCTATTGATGTCCGTTGCCCCCATTGATGCCCATTGACCCCCATTGATGCCCGTTGACCCCCATTGATGCCCATTGACCCCTATTGATGTCCGTTGCCCCCCATTGATGCCCATTGACCCCCATTGATGCCCATTGACCCCTATTGATGCCCATTGACCCCCATTGATGTCCGTTGCCCCCATTGATGCCCATTGACCCCTATTGATGTCCGTTGCCCCCCATTGACCCCCGTTGATGCCCATTGACCCCTACTGGTGTCCGTTGCCCCCATTGATGCCCATTGACCCCCATTGATGCCCATTGCCCCCCATTGGCCCCCACTGACCCCCCACTGACCCCCACGTCCCCCCTCTGCAGGCCAAGAACCACTTCAACGCCAACTGCTCGTTCTGGAACTACTCGGAGCGCTCCATGGCCGGGCACTGGTCCACGCAGGGCTGCCGGCGGCTCAGCACCAACAGCACCCACACGTCCTGCGCCTGCAGCCACCTCACCAACTTCGCCCTGCTCATGGCGCACCACGACAGCGTGAGCACCGCGGGGCCATGGCGCTTATGGGGTGCCATAGGGATGCGATGGGGGGGGGGGGCATAGGGGTGTGATGGGGGTGCCCATAGGGATGTGATTGGGGTGTCCATAGGGATGCGATGGGGGTGCCATAGGGATGTGATGGGGGTGCCATAGGGATGTGAGGGGGGTGCCATAGGGATGTGAGGGGGGGGGCATAGGGATGCGATGGGGGTGCCATAGGGATGCGATGGGGGTGCCATAGGGATGTGGGTCACTTTGGGGTGCCCATAGGGATGTGATGGGGGTGCCATAGGGATGTGAGGGGGGGGGCATAGGGATGCGATGGGTCACTTTGGGGTGCCCATAGGGGTGTGATTGTGGTGCCATAGGGATGCAAGGGGGGGGGGCATAGGGATGCAATGGGTCACTTTGGGGTGCCCATAGGGATGCGATGGGGGTGTCCATAGGGATGCGATGGGTCACTTTGGGGTGCCCATAGGGATGCGATGGGGGGTGCCCATAGGGATGCGATGGGTCACTTTGGGGTGCCCATAGGGATGTGATGGGGGTGTCCATAGGGATGCGATGGGTCACTTTGGGGTGCCCATAGGGATGCGATGGGGGTGCCCATAGGGATGCGATGGGGGTGCCCATAGGGATGTCAGGGGGTGCCCATAGGGATGTGATGGGGGTGCCATAGGGATGTGATGGGGGTGCCCATAGGGATGCGATGGTCACTTTGGGCTGCCCATAGGGGTGTGATTGTGGTGCCATAGGGATGCAAGGGGGGGGGCATAGGGATGCAATGGGTCACTTTGGGGTGCCCATAGGGATGCGATGGGGGGTGCCCATAGGGATGCGATGGTCACTTTGGGGTGCCCATAGGGATGTGATGGGGGTGCCCATAGGGATGCAATGGGTCACTATGGGATGCTCTTAGGGATGCAATGGGTCACTATGGGATGCTCTTAGGGATGCAATGGGTCACTATGGGATGCAACCAATAGGGTTGCAATTGGTCACTATGGGATGCTCTTAGGGATGCAATGGGTCACTGTGTGGTACCCATAGGGATGCAATGGGTCACTGTGTGGTACCCATAGGGATGCAATGGGTCACTGTGGGATGCTCTTAGGGGTGCAATGGGTCACTGTGTGGTACCCATAGGGATGCAATGGGTCACTATGGGATGCTGTTAGGGACGCAATGGGTCACTATGGGATGCTGTTAGGGACGCAATGGGTCACTATGGGATGCTGTTAGGGACACAGTGGGTCACTGTGTGGTACCCATAGGGACGCAATGGGTCACTATGGGATGCTGTTAGGGACGCAATGGGTCACTATGGGATGCTGTTAGGGACACAGTGGGTCACTGTGTGGTACCCATAGGGACGCAATGGGTCACTATGGGATGCTGTTAGGGACGCAATGGGTCACTATGGGATGCTCTTAGGGATGCAATGGGTCACTATGGGATGCTCTTAGGGATGCAATGGGTCACTATGGGATGCCCATAGGGCTGCAATGGGTCACTATGGGATGCCCATAGGGCTGCAATGGGTCACTATGGGATGCTGTTAGGGATGCAATGGGTCACTATGGGATGCTCTTAGGGATGCATTGGGTCACTGTAGGATGCCCATAGGGTTGCAATGGGTCACTATGGGATGCCCATAGGGTTGCAATGGGTCACTATGGGATGCCCATAGGGATGCAATGGGTCACTGTGTGGTACCCATAGGGATGCAATGGGTCACTGTGTGGTGCCTATAGGGATGCAATGGGTCACTATGGGGCGCTCTTAGGGATGCAATGGGTCACTATGGGGCGCTCTTAGGGACGCAATGGGTCACTATGGGATGCTGTTAGGGACGCAATGTGTCACTATGGGATGCTCTTAGGGACGCAATGGGTCACTATGGGATGCTCTTAGGGACACAATGGGTCACTATGGGATGCTGTTAGGGACGCAATGGGTCACTATGGGATGCTGTTAGGGACGCAATGGGTCACTATGGGATGCTGTTAGGGACACAATGGGTCACTATGGGATGCTGTTAGGGGTGCAATGGGTCACTGTGTGGTACCCATAGGGATGCAATGGGTCACTATGGGATGCTGTTAGGGATGCAATGGGTCACTATGGGATGCTGTTAGGGACGCAATGGGTCACTATGGGATGCTGTTAGGGACGCAATGGGTCACTATGGGATGCTGTTAGGGACGCAATGGGTCACTATGGGATGCTCTTAGGGACGCAATGGGTCACTATGGGATGCTGTTAGGGACACAATGGTGTCACTCCATCTCTCCCCCCACCGCTGACCCCCTCGGCCCCACTTCCGCCCCACAGCAGCAGGGCCGCTTGGACGCGGTGCTGCTGTCGGTGATCTCCTGGGTGGGCATCGTGGTGGCCCTGGTGTGCCTGGGGGTGTCGCTGGCGGCGCTGTGCTGCCTGCGGGGGCTGCCCCCCGAGCGCACCACGACCCCCAAGCACCTCTGCGCCAGCCTCTTCCTCGCCGAGCTCGTCTTCCTCATCGGCATCGACAAGACCCAGTACCAGGTGTGGGGCTGGGGTTGGGGGGCAGCACCCTGGGACCCCATTGCTCCCCCACCCCAGCCCCATAGCACCCTGCCCCCTATGGCAACAGTGCCTTCATGCCCCACTATGGATCCTTGTCTCGGTTCCCCCCCCCCCACCCTGTGCCCCCCATATTCTGCCTGTCGCCCCTATGCCCCCCCCATGTGTCCAATATCCTTTTATGTCCCCTATATCACACTTATGGCCCCCCATCCCGATGCCCCCCGTATCCCATGTGTCCCCCCATGTCCTTATATCCCCCTTATGCCCCACATGTTCCCATATCCCCCCATATCCCCATATCCCCCCATGGCCCCCCTATGGCCCCATGTCCCGATGCCCCTCATGTTTCCCCTATGCTTCTATACCCCAATGTCCCCTATATCCCTCTTATGCCCCCATGTCCCCTATATCCCCCTTATGCCCCCATGTCCCCTATATCCCCCTTACGCCCCCATGTCCTGATGCCCCCCATATCCCCCCTATGTCCCCATGCTCCCCATATCCCCCCTATGCCCCCCATATCCCTCTTATGCTCCCATGTCGTGATGGCCCCCATATCTCACATATCCCCTCTATGTCCCCATATCCCCTCATGTCTCCTATATCCCCCTTATGCTCCCATGTTCCCATATCCCTCCTATGCGTCATGACCCCCATATCCCCCATATCCCCCATATCCCCCTATATCCCCATGCTTCCCATATCCCCTCTATGCCCCCATATCCCTTCATGTCTCCTATATCCCCCTTATACCCCCATATATCCCCATATACCCCATACCCCCCCATATCCCCCCCCCCCCATACCCCCCCATATATCCCCCATATATCCCCCTATCCCCCCATATCCCCCATATCCCCGCCCCACATACCCCCATATCCCCCCCCCCATATCCCCCCCTATATCCCCCCCCATATCCCCCCTACATCCCCCCCATATCCCTCCCTATATCCCCCCATATCCCCCCCATATCCCCCATATCCCCCCCCATATCCCCCCCCATATCCCCCCCCCTCATCCCCCCCATATCCCCCCCCATATCCCCCCCCATATCCCCTCCCCATATCCCCCCCCATAGCTGCCCCATATCCCCCCCCATATCCCCCCCCATATCCCCCCCATATCCCCCCCATATCCCCCCCCATATCCCCCCCCATATCCCCCCATATCCCCCCATACCCCCCCCATATCCCCCCCATATCCCCCCATATCCCCCCCATATCCCCCCATATCCCCCCATATCCCCCCCATATCCCCCCCATATCCCCCCATATCCCCCCCATATATCCCCCCATATCCCCCCATATCCCCCCCCATATCCCCCCATATCCCCCCATATCCCCCCCCATCCCCCCCACATCCCCCCCATATCCCCCCATATCCCCCCCATATCCCCCCCATATCCCCCCATATCCCCCCCATATCCCCCCCATATCCCCCCATATCCCCCCCATATCCCCCCATATCCCCCCCCATATCCCCCCATATCCCCCATATCCCCCCATATCCCCCCCATATCCCCCCATATCCCCCATATCCCCCCCCCCATATCCCCCCATATCCCCCCATATCCCCCATATCCCCCCCATATCCCCCCATATCCCCCCCATACCCCCCCATATCCCCCCCATATCCCCCCCATATCCCCCCCATATCCCCCCCATATCCCCCCCATATCCCCCCATATCCCCCCATATCCCCCCCATATCCCCCCCATATCCCCCCCATATCCCCCCCATATCCCCCCCATATCCCCCCCATATCCCCCCCCATATCCCCCCCATATCCCCCCCCATACCACCCCATATCCCCCCATATCCTGCCCCCATATCCCCCCATATATCCCCCATATCCCCCATATCCCCCCCCATACCCCCCATATCCCCCCATATCCCCCCATATCCCCCATATCCCCCCCATATCCCCCCCATATCCCCCCATATTCCCCCCATATCCCCCCCATATCCCCCCATACCCCCCATATCCCCCCACATCCCCCCATATCCCCCCTATATCTCCCCCTATAACCCCCCATACCCCCCATATACCCCATACCCCCCATACCCCCCATATGCCCCCATATCCCCCCATACCTCTCGATGTCCCCATGTCCCCCCATATCCCCCCTATGCCCCCATATCCCCCATATCCCCCATATCCCCCCATATCCCCCATATCCCCCATATCCCCCCATACCCCCCATGACCCCATACCCCCCCATTACCCCCATCCCCCCCATATCCCCCCATCCCCCCCCATATCCCCCCCATCCCCCCCATCCCCCCCAGATCGCGTGCCCCATCTTCGCGGGGCTGCTTCACTTCCTGTTCCTGGCCTCCTTCTCGTGGCTGGGGCTGGAGGGGCTCCAGCTCTACGTGCTCGTGGCGGGGGTGGAGCTGCCCCCCCCCCGCCGCTGGTTCTACGCGGCCGGGTACTGCTTCCCCGCGGGGGTCGTGGCGCTGGCGGCAGCCGTGGATCACCGGAGCTACGGCACTGAGAGCGCGTAGGGGGGGAGGGGAGGGGCTTGGGGTAGAGGGGAGGGGCTTGGGGAGGGGGAGGGGGAAGGATGGGGGAGGGGCTTGAAGAAAGGGGAGGGGCTTGGGGAGAGGGGGAAGGGAGAGGGGAGGGGAGAGGGGGAGGGGAGGGGCAAAGGGAAAGGGGAGGGGCTTGGGGAAAGGGAAGGGGAGAGGGGGGAGGGGCTTGGGGTGAGGGGAGGAAGGGAGGGGCTTGGGGAGGGAAGGGAGGGAGAGGGGAGGGGCAAAGGGAAAGGGGAGGGGAGGGGAGGGGAGGGGGGAAGGGGGAGGGGCAAAGGGAAAGGGGAGGGGAGAGGGGAGGGGGGAAGGGAGGGGAGAGGGGAGGGGCAAAGGGAAAGGGGAGGGGAAAGGGGAGGGGCTTGGAGAGAGGGAAAGGAGAGGGGAGGGGCTTGAAGAAAGGGGAGGGGCTTGGAGAGAGGGGAGGGTCAAAGGGAAGGGGGAGGGGCGAGGGGAAAGAGGAGGGGAGAGGGGAGGGGCTTGGGCATAAAGGGATGTGATTGGGGAGGGGAGGGGCGTGGGGGGAGGGGCTTGGGAGGGGGAGGGGCTTGGGGAGAAGGGAGGAGACTGGGGAGAGAGGAGGGGCTTGGGGGGGCGGGGCCTTAAAATGGGCGTGGCCTGATCTCAAGGGGAGGAGCTAACGAAAAGGGGCGGGGTCTTGGGGCAAGGGGAGGGGCTTGGAAAAAAGGGGCAGGGCCGGGGGATAAAGGGAGGGGCCTGAGGAAAGGGGGCGTGGCCTGAGCCATGGGGGCGGGGCTTGATAGCCCTGGGGGCGTGGCCTCCGCAGGTGCTGGCTGCGCGTGGACAATCACTTCATCTGGAGCTTCATCGGGCCCGTGGCCTTCGTCATCCTCGTACGGGGCTGCTATGGGGCGGCTATGGGGCTGGGATTGGTCTATGGGGTGCTATGGGGCGGCTATGGGGCGGCTATGGGGCTGGGATTGGTCTATGGGGTTCTGTGGGGCGGCTATGGGGCGGCTATGGGGCTGGGATTGGTCTATGGGGTTCTATGGGGCGGCTATGGGGCGGCTATGGGGCTGGGATTGGTCTATGGGGTTCTATGGGGCGGCTATGGGGCGGCTATGGGGCTGGGATTGGTCTATGGGGTTCTATGGGGCAGCTATGGGGCTGGGATTGGTCTATGGGGGCTGCTGTGGGCTTCTATGGGGCAGCTATGGGGCTGGGATTGGTCTATGGTGTGCTATGGGGCTGGGATTGGTCTATGGGGTTCTGTGGGGCAGCTATGGGGCTGGGATTGGTCTATGGGGTGCTATGGGGCTGGGATTGGTCTATGGGGTTCTGTGGGGCTGGGATTGGTCTATGGGGTTCTATGGGGCAGCTATGGGGCTGGGATTGGTCTATGGGGTGCTATGGGGCTGGGATTGGTCTATGGGGTTCTATGGGGCAGCTATGGGGCTGGGATTGGTCTGTGGGGTTCTATGGGGCTGGGATTGGTCTGTGGGGTTCTATGGGGCTGGGATTGGTCTATGGGGTTCTATGGGGCGGCTATGGGGCGGCTATGGGGCTGGGATTGGTCTATGGGGTGCTATGGGGCTGGGATTGGTCTATGGGGTTCTGTGGGGCAGCTATGGGGCTGGGATTGGTCTATGGGGGCTGCTGTGGGGTTCTATGGGGCTGCTCTGGGGCTGGGATTGGTCTATGGGGTTCTATGGGGCAGCTATGGGGCTGGGATTGGTCTATGGGGTTCTATGGGGCAGCTATGGGGCGGCTATGGGGCTGGGATTGGTCTATGGGGGCTGCTGTGGGGTTCTATGGGGCAGCTATGGGGCTGGGATTGGTCTATGGGGGCTGCTGTGGGGTTCTATGGGGCAGCTATGGGGCTGGGATTGGTCTATGGGGGCTGCTGTGGGGTTCTATGGGGCAGCTATGGGGCTGGGATTGGTCTATGAGGGCTGCTGTGGGGTTCTATGGGGCAGCTATGGGGCTGTTATTGGTCTATGGGTGCTGCTGTGGGGTTCTATGGGGCAGCTATGGGGCTGCTCTGGGGCTCGGGGCATTCTGTGGGTCTGCTACGGGGCATCTATGGGGCTGGGGGTGCTTCTGTGGCACCGCTATGGGGAGGGGGGCTGTTCTATGGGGCTGCTATGAGACTGCTGTGGGGCTAGGGGAATTCTGTGGGGCTGCTATGGGGCTGGGGGCTGTTCTATGGGGCTGGGTGTTACTGCTATGGGGCGGGGGGCTGTTCTATGGGGCTACTATGAGACTGCTGTGGGGCTAGGAGGATTCTATGGGCCTGCTATGGGGCTGGGGGCTGTTCTATGGGGCTACTATGAGACTGCTGTGGGGCTGGGGGGGATTCTATGGGGCTACTATGAAACTGCTGGGGGGCTGGGGGTGATTCTATGGGGCTGCCATGGGGCTGTTCTATGGGGCTGGGGGCTGTTCTATGGGGTTGGGTGTTACTGCTATGGGGCGGGGGGGTGTTCTATGGGGCTGGGTGTTACTGCTATGGAGCGGAGGGGTCTCCTATGGGGTTACTATGAGACTGCTGTGGGGCTGGGGGGGATTCTATGGGCCTGCTATGGGGCTGGGGGCTGTTCTATGGGGCTACTATGAGACTGCTGTGGGGCTGGGGGGGATTCTATGGGGCTGCCATGGGGCTGGGGGCTGTTCTATGGGGCTGGGTGTTACTGCTATGGGGCGGGGGGGTGTTCTATGGGGCTGGGTGTTACTGCTATGGGGCGGAGGGGTCTTCTATGGGGTTACTATGAGACTGCTGTGGGGCTAGGAGGATTCTATGGGGCTGGGGGCTGTTCTATGGGGCTATGAGACTGCTGTGGGGCTGGCGGGGATTCTATGGGGCTGCCATGGGGCTGTTCTATGGGGCTGGGTGTTACTGCTATGGGGCGGAGGGGTCTTCTATGGGGTTACTATGAGACTGCTGTGGGGCTGGGGGGGATTCTATGGGGTTACTATGAGACTGCTGTGGGGCTAGGAGGATTCTATGGGGCTGCCATGGGGCTGTTCTATGGGGCTGGGAGGTGTCACTATGGGTCTGGGGGGTCTCTCCATGGGGCAGCAGGTCTCGCTGTGGGGCTCGGTGTCCCTCTGGGGGTCCTGCTGTGGGGCTGGGGTGGCGCCGTGGGGCTGAGCCGCTGCCCCACAGGTGACGCTGGTGCTGCTGCTGGTGACGTTGCACAAGATGCTCCGCCCCTCGGCAGCGCTCAAACCGGATTCCAGCCGCTTGGAGAGCATCAAGTGAGGGGGGAGCCGGAGCCGGAGCGGGGTCGGGATCGGGATCGGGATTGGAAATGGGATCGGGATCAGGAATGGGATCGGGAATGGGAATGGGATCGGGAATGGGATTGGGAACGGGATTGGGAATGGGATTTGGAATGGGATTGGGAATGGGATCAGGAATGGAAACGGGAATGGGATCGGGAATGGGATCGGGATTGGGAATGGGATCGGGAATGGGATTGGGAACGGGATTGGGAATGGGATTTGGAATGGGATTGGGAATGGGATCAGGAATGGAAACGGGAATGGGATCGGGAATGGGAACGGGATCGGGAATGGGATTGGAAATGGGATCGGGAATGGGATTGGGAATGGGATTGGGAATGGGATTGGGAATGGGATCAGGATCAGGAATGGGATCGGGATCGGGAACGGGATCGGGAATGGGATCGGGAATGGGATTGGAAATGGGACCGGGATTGGGAATGGGATCGGGAATGGGATTGGAAATGGGACCGGGATTGGGAATGGGATCGGGATCGAGAATGGGATTGGAAATGGGATCGGGAATGGGATTGGGATCGGGAACGGGATCGGGAACGGGATCGGGAACGGGATCGGGAATGGGATCGGGAATGGGATCAGGAATGGGAACGGGAATGGGGTCGGGATTGGGAATGGGATCGGGATCGGGAACGGGATCGGGAATGGGATCGGGAATGGGATCGGGAACGGGATCGGGAATGGGATAGGGAATGGGATCGGGAATGGGATTGGAAATGGGATTGGGAATGGGATCGGGAATGGGATCGGGATCGGGAATGGGATCGGGAATGGGACTGGGATTAGGAATGGGATCGGGAATGGGATCGGGATCAGGAATGGGATCGGGATCGGGAACGGGATCAGGAATGGGATCGGGAACGGGATCGGGAATGGGATCAGGATCGGGAATGGGATCGGGATCAGGAATGGGATCGGGAACGGGATCGGGAATGGGAACGGGATGGGGAATGGGATCGGGAATGGGCCGGGAATGGGATTGGGATCGGGAATGGGATCGGGAATGGGATTGGAAATGGGATCGGGAATGGGCCGGGAATGGGATTGGGAATGGGAATGGGAACAGGAACGGGATCGGGATCGAGAATGGGATTGGAAATGGGATTGGGAATGGGATCGAGAACGGGATTGGGATCGAGAATGGGATTGGGAATGGGATCAGGATCAGGAATGGGATCGGCATCGGGAATGGGATTGGAAATGGGATCGGGATTGGGAACGGGATTGGGAACGGGATCGGGAATGGGATCGGGAACAGGATCGGGATCGAGAATGGGATTGGAAATGGGATCGGGAATGGGGTCGGGATCGGGAACGGGATCAGGAACAGGATTGGGAATGGGATCAGGATGGGGATCGGGAATGGGATCAGGAATGGGATTGGGAATGGGATTGGGAATGGGATCGGGAACGGGATCGGGATCGGGAATGGGCTTGGGAATGGGATCAGGATCAGGAATGGGATCAGGATCGGGAATGGGATCAGGATCGGGAATGGGATTGGAAATGGGATCAGGAATGGAATTGGAAATGGGATTGGGAATGGGATCAGGATCAGGAATGGGATCGGGATCAGGAATGGGATCAGGATAGGGAATGGGATCGGGAACGGGATCGGGATCGAGAATGGGATTGGAAATGGGATCGGGAATGGGATCGGGAATGGGATCAGGATGGGGATCGGGAATGGGATCAGGAATGGGATCAGGAATGGGATTGGGAATGGGATTGGGTTGGGAATGGGATTGGGAATGGGATTGGAAATGGGATTGCAAATGGGACCGGGATCGGGAATGGGATCGGGAATGGGACCGGGATTGGGAATGGGATCGGGAATGGGATCGGGAATGGGATCGGGATTGGGAATGGGATTGGGAATGGGATCGGGATCGAGAATGGGATTGGAAATGGGATCGGGAATGGGATCGGGATCGGGAACGGGATCGGGAACAGGATCGGGAATGGGATCGGGAATGGGGTTGGGAATGGGCTGGGATCGGGAATGGGATCGGGATTGGGAATGGGATTGGGAATGGGACCAGGAATGGGATCAGGATCGGGAAGGGGATCAGGAACGGGATTGGGAATGGGATCAGAAATGGGATTGGGAATGGGATCAGGATCAGGAACGGGATTGGGAACGGGATTGGGAACGGGATCGGGAATGGGATCGGGAGTGGGATTGGGAATGGGATTGGGAATGGGATCAGGATCAGGAACGGGATCGGGAACGGGATCAGGAATGGGATCGGGAATGGGATCGGGAATGAGCTGGGAATGGGATCGGGATCAGGATTGGGAATGGGGTCGGGAATGGGACTGGGAATGGGCTGGGAACAGGCCTGGAATGGGATCGGGAATGGAACCTGGAATACGCCTGGAATGGGACCTGGGTGCTGGGTGCTGGGCTGTAGGTGCTCTGTCACTGGGTGCTCTATGCTGGGTGCTCTATCACTGGGTGCTCTATCACTGGGTGCTGGGTGCTCTATCACTGGGTGCTCTATCACTGGGTGCTGGGTGCTCTATCACTGGGTGCTGGGTGCTCTATCACTGGGTGCTGGGTGCTCTATCACTGGGTGCTCTATCACTGGGTGCTCTATGCTGGCTGCTCTATCACTGGGTGCTCTATCAGTGCGTGCTGGGTGCTCTATGATGGGTGCTCTATCAGTGGGTGCTCTATCACTGGGTGCTCTATCACTGGGTGCTCTATGCTGGGTGCTGGGTGCTCTATGATGGGTGCTCTATCACTGGGTGCTCTATCACTGGGTGCTGGCTGCTCTATCACTGGGTGCTCTATCACTGGGTGCTGGCTGCTCTATCACTGGGTGCTCTATCACTGGGTGCTCTATCACTGGGTGCTGGCTGCTCTATCAGTGCGTGCTGGCTGCTCTATGATGGGAGCTGTATGATGGGTGCTGGGTGCTGCATGATGGGTGCCGGTCCCCTGCAGGTCCTGGGCTCTGGGTTCCATGGTGCTGGGCTCTGTGTGCTCTCTGATGGGTGCTCTCTGATGGGTGCTGGGTGATGGGTGATGGGTGCTCTCTGATGGGTGCTGTATGATGGGTGCTGATCCCATCCTGCTCCATGCCAGGTCCTGGGCCCTCGGCTCCATGGCGCTGGGTGCTGTATGATGGGTGCTCTCTGATGGGTGCTGTATGATGGGTGCTCTCTGATGGTCGCTGGGTGCTCTCTGATGGGTGCCGGTCCCCCGCAGGTCCTGGGCCCTCGGCTCCATGGCTCTGGGTGCTCTATGATGGGTGCTCTCTGATGGGTGCTGTATGATGGGTGCTGTATGATGGGTGCTGTATGATGGGTGCACTATGATGGGTGCTGATCCCATCCTGCTCCATGCCAGGTCCTGGGCCCTCGGCTCCATGGCTCTGTGTGCTCTCTGATGGGTGCTGTATGATGGATGCTGGGTGCTCTATGATGGGTGCTCTCTGATGGGTGCTGGGTGCTCCATGATGGGTGCTCTCTGATGGGTGCTGGGTGCTCTCTGATGGGTGCTGTGTGATGGGTGCTGGGTCCCTGTCCCGCAGGTCCTGGGCCCTCGGCTGCATGGCTCTGGGTGCTGTATGATGGGTGCTGGGTGCTGTGTGATGGGTGCTGGGTGCTGTGTGATGGGTGCTGGGTGCTGTGTGATGGGTGCTGGGTGCTGGGTGCTGATCCCATCCTGCTCCATGCCAGGTCCTGGGCCCTCGGCTCCATGGCTCTGTGTGCTCTCTGATGGGTGCTGTATGATGGATGCTGGGTGCTGTGTGATGGGTGCTCTCTGATGGGTGCTCTATGATGGGTGATGGGTGCTGTATGATGGGTGCTGTATGATGGGTGCTGTATGATGGGTGCTGGGTGCTCTCTGATGGGTGCTGTATGATGGGTGCTGTATGATGGGTGATGGGTGATGGGTGATGGGTCCCCCGCAGGTCCTGGGCCCTCGGCTCCATGGCGCTGCTGCTGCTCCTGGGTCTCACGTGGGCCTTCGGGCTCCTGTTCGTGACGCGCGAGTCCGTGCTGACCGCGTCGCTGTTCACTGCCTGCAACGCCCTGCAGGGGGCGTCCGTGCTGCTGCTGCACTGCGCCCTGCACAGGAAGGTACCCGCGGGACACCGCCGGGGGGCAATGGGGGGCAATGGGGGGGACATGGGGGGAGCCATGGGGGGCAATGGGGGGCAGCCATGGGGGGGACAATGGGGGGCAGCCATGGGGTGCAATGGGGGGGACATGGGGGGCAATGGGGGGGACATGGGGGGCAGCCATGGGGGGCAATGGGGGGGACATGGGGGGCAATGGGGGAAGACATGGGGGGCAATGGGGGGCAGCAATGGGGGGCAGCCATGGGGGGCAATGGGGGGGGAGACATTGGGGGGGAAATGGGGGGGAGGCATTGGGGGGGAACCATGGGGTGCAATGGGGGGCCAGACATGGGGGGGCAATGGGGGGAGACATGGGGGGCAATGGGGGGGAGACATGGGGGGCAATGGGGGGGACATGGGGGGCAATGGGGGGCAGCCATGGGGAGCAATGGGGGGGACATGGGGTGCAATGGGGGGGAGACATTGGGGGGCAATGGGGGGGACATGGGGTGCAATGGGGGGGACATGGGGGGGACAATGGGGGGCAGCTATAGGGTGCAATGGGGGGGAGCCATGGGGTGCAATGGGGGGGAGACATTGGGGGGGCAGCCATGGGGTGCAATGGGGGGCAGCCATGGGGGGCAATGGGGGGGAGGCACTGGGGGGCAGCCATAGGGTGCAATGTGGGGGAGACATTGGGGGGGCACCCATTGGGGGGGCAATGGGGGGAACTCTTTGGGGGTGCGTGGGGAGTACCCATGGGGGGTGCAATGGGGGGGTACCCATTGGGGGGGGCACCCATTGGGGGGTGCCATGGGGGGGACCCTTTGGGAGGTGCAATGGGGGGGTACCCATTGGGGGGGCAATGGGGGTGAACCATTGGGGGGGCACCCATTGGGGGGTGCAATGGGGGGGACCCTTTGGGGGGTGTAATGGGGGGGCACCCATTGGGGGGCACCCATTGGGGGGCACCCATTGGGGGTGCAATGGGGGGGATCCATTGGGGGGGCACCCATTGGGGGTGCAATGGGGGGGACCCTTTGGGGGGTGCAATGAGGGGGTACCCATTGGGGGGGTGCAATGGGGGGGGTGCAATGTGGGGGGCACCCATGTGTGGGGCAGGGCCCATAATGGGGGGAGCTCACCCCAACCCCCCCCCCAGGTGCACCGGGAGCTGAGCAAGTGCCTGCGGCACTCGGGGTGCTGCCTGCGGAGCCCCCCCGGCACCGCCATGGGGGCCCTCAAGGGCGCCGGCACCCGCAGTGGGGCTCGATACTACAGCGGCACCCAGGTGGGCTCCGCGGGACCCATAGGGACCCATAGAGACCCATAGAGAGCCCCATAGACCCATAGAGAGCCCCATGGACCCACAGGGACCCATAGGGAGCCATAGGGACCCCCCCCATGGACCCATAGGGACCCCCATGGACCCATAGAGACCCCCATGAACCCATAGAGAACCCCATGGACCCATAGACACCCCCCCATGGACCCATAGAGACCCCCCCATGGACCCATAGAGACCCCCATAAACCCATAGGGACCCCCCCATGGACCCATAGAGAACCCCATGGACCCATAGAGACCCCCCCATGAACCCATAGGGACCCCCATGAACCCATAGATCATCCTTGTAACCATAGTGACCACCCTGTACCCATAGAGCATCCCTGTACCCATAGCGACCCCCAGCACCCATAGAGCATCCCTGTACTCATAGAGCACCCATAGAGCATCCCTGTACCCATAGAGCACCCATAGAGCATCCCTGTACCCATAGAGCATCCCTGTACCCATAGAGCACCCATAGAGCATCCCTGTACCCATAGAGCATCCCTGTACCCATAGAGCACCCATAGAGCACCCCTGTGCCCATAGTGACCCCCAGCACCCATAGAGCATCCCTGTACCCATAGAGCACCCCTGTACCCATAGAGCATCCGTAGAGCACCACTGCACCCACAGAGCACCCCTGCACCCACAGAGCACCCCTGTACCCATAGTGACCCCCATCACCCATAGAGCATCCCTGTACCCATAGAGCACCCATAGAGCACCCCTGTACCCACAGAGCACCCCTGTACCCATAGAGCATCCCTGTACCCATAGTGACCCCCATCACCCATAGAGCATCCCGGTACCCATAGAGCACCCATAGAGCATCCCTGTGCCCATAGTGACCCTGAGCACCCATAGAGACCCCATGAACCCATAGAGCATCCCTGTACCCATAGAGCACCCATAGAGCACCCATAGAGCACCCCTGTACCCATAGAGCACCCATAGAGCACCCCTGTACCCATAGAGCACCCATAGAGCATCCCTGTACCCATAGAGCACCCATAGAGCACCCCTGTACCCATAGAGCATCCCTGCACCCATAGAGCACCCATAGAGCACCCCTGCACCCATGGCCCCCCCCCCGGCCCCATAGTGACCCCCAAATGAGCCCCGTTGCCCCCAACCCCACAGAGCCGGATCCGGAGGATGTGGAACGACACCGTGCGGAAGCAGACGGAGTCCAGCTTCATGGGGGGGGACCTCAACAGCACCCCCAGCCTCAACCGAGGTGAGACCCCCAGGGACCCCCACTGACCCCCATGGACCCCTATGGACCCCTCATGGAGTCCCCATTGACACCTATGGACCCCCATGGACCCCTATGGACCCCCCATGGACCCCCCATTGACCCCTATGGACCCCCACTGACCCCTGGGGACCCCCCACTGACCCCTATGGACCTCACATTGACCCCCATTGACCCCTATGGACCCCCACTGACCCCTATGGACCCCCCCATGGACCCCCCATGGACCCCCCCATTGACCCCCATGGACCCCCCCATTGACCCCTATGGACCCCCCCATTGACCCCCATGGACCCCCATGGACCCCCATGGACCCCCTCTGGACCCTCCATTGACCCCCATGGACCCCCCATTGATCCCCATTGTCCCCCCCATTGACCCCCATGGACCCCCCCATGGACCCCCCATGGACCCCCATGGACCCCCCCATAGACCCCCATATGGACCCCTAAGGACCCCCCATTGACCCTATGGACCCCCCCCATTGACCCCCATGGACCCCCCCAGACCCACCCCATTGACCCCCATGGACACCTCCAGCCCCCCCCATTGACCCCTATGGACCCCCCACTGACCCCTATGGACCCCACATTGACCCCCATTGACCCCTATGGACCCCTAAGGACCCCCCATTGACCCCTATGGACCCCCATTGACCCCCCATGGACCCCCCATGGACCCCCCCATGGACCCCCCTATGGACCCCCCATGGACCCCCCATGACCCCCCATTGACCCCTATAGGACCCCCCTATGACCCCCCCATGGACCCCCATGGACACCCCCCCTATGGACCCCCCCATTGGACCCCCATGGACCCCCATGGACCCCCATGGACCCCCTATGGACCCCCCCATGGACCCCCCCTTGGAGACCCCCATGGGCCCCAAACCCCCCATGGACCCCCATGGACCCCCCATGGACCCCTCTGGACCCCCCATGGACCCCCCATGGACCCCCATGGACCCCTATGGACCCCCCCCCTATGGACCCCCCATATGACCCCCCATGGACCCCCCATTGACCCCTATGGGCAGTCCATGGACCCCTATGGACAGTCCATGGACCCCCATTGACCCCTATGGACCCCCCATTGACCCCTACGGAACCCCCATTGATCCCCATGGGCACCCACATTGACCCCTATAGACCCCCCAATGACGCCTATGGACACCCCCAGACCCCCCCATTGACCACTATGGACACCCCCAGACATCCCATTGATCCCTATGGACCCCCCCATTGACCCCCATGGACTCCCCCCAGACCCCCCCATTGACCCCTATGGACACGCACAGACCCCCCCATTGACCCCCATGGACCCCCCCAGACCCACCCATTGACCCCCATGGACCCCCCCAGACCCCCCCATTGACCCCTATGGACACCCCCATTGACCCCTATGGACACCCCCAGACCCCCCCCATTGACCCCCATGGACACCCCTATTGAC